GAGAGAGGGAGACACAGAATCTGAAGCAGGCTCCAGGCTCTGAGACCGACGCGGGGCTTGAAGTCATGAGCAGTGAGATCACGACTTCAGCCAAAGTTGGATGCTCAACTGACTGAGCCACCTAGGCCCCCCCTAAAAATTTTTTTTTAATGTTTATTTGTTTTTGAGAGAGAGAGACAGAGTGTGAGCAGGGAAGGGGCAGAGAGAGACAGGGAGACACAAAATCTGAAGCAGGGTCCAGGCTCTGAGCTGTCAGCACAGAGCCCGATGTGGGGCTCGAATTCATGAACTGTGAGATCATGACCTGAGCCAAAGTCAGATGCTCAACTGACTGAGCCACCCAGGTGCTCCAGGACTGATGTTCTTGTAAGAAGACATGCCAGAGGTCGCTCCATCTGTGAGCATGCCCAGAAGAAAGGCCATATGAGGACACAGTATGCTTGAAAGAGAAGCTTCGCCAGAAACCAACTCAGACGGCACCTTGCTTTTAGACTTCCAGCCTCCAGAACTGTGAGAAAATAAATATCTGTTGCTTAAGCCACATAGTCTGTGGTGTCTTGTTATGGCAGCCTGGGCTAAGACAAACTACCTCTTTTATTGCTAGGGAATAGTCCTCTTTCACAGGGCAAACTCAGTGTTTTCAAATTCAGTTTGTCTCATATTATAACCATGTCAGACTACTGTGTTCATGGTATATCCTTCTCTGTCCTTTAAATTTCAACCTAATGTGCCTTTATATTTACAGTGCATTTCTTCCATATAGTATACAGTTGAGTTTTGCTTTTTATCCATTCTGACAATCTCTGCATTTTAATTGGAGTGTTTAATCCATTTACATTTGTTTTAATTGTTGACAAAACTGGGTTAAATGTACCATCTTGCTACTTCTTTTCCATTTGTCCCTTCTGTTTTTTGGTCCTCTCTTGTTCCTTTCTTTTTTTTTTCCCCCCTGACTTATTTGATCAACAAATCAAGTATTTCTTAGTTTTCCATTTTACTTCCCCAATTGGCATAACTTATTCTTATAATTTTTTAATGCCTGCTCTAGAGCTAATAATATGCATTCATAACATATTGAAATCTAGTTAGAGTCAGTATTTTACCACTTCATACCTTCTTCTTCACACTTCCCATTTCTCTCTTGATACCTGACACTTCACAAATATAACAGCCTTATAACAGAATAATTTCATTTACAACCACCCATCCTTTGAACTGTATTTGTCTCATCTTTCACTTCTATAGGTATAAACTCTATCTTGCATAAAGAAGAAATCACCAAAAAATATAGACTTTTGTATTTACCCACTTATTTATAATTTCTGGTGCTCTTTATCTCCCCCCTGACCTGCATATTCCAGCTACTTCATCTTCCATGAACTCTGATCTCTGTTCCTCAGCACAATAGGACCACCATGCCTTGTTTGGACTCTGGCTCACAAATCCACAGTCAGAAAGTTATTCCCAGTCAGGAACCAGGGTAAACAGGGGCTCACCTTATGAGTTTCCTTTCTCAGGGACTGTAAATATATACTGCCTGTTATTCAGTGCCTTAGAGACACCCAGCATGGAGTTTCAAAGTCAGAACAGAATAAGGAAAGCATCAACCTGGGAGAGCAGCCTGGTATATGAAATTGGAACCCACGCAGAGTAATGAGGGCGTCTGTGTAGGAAGATGGTCTGTTGTATGGAAGGAGACCAAGAGGGGTGAAGAGAACATCTAAGCAATTTTCCTGACCCTGGGCAGTGCAATAGGGTTTTCTAGTTATTTTGGCAGTATAACAAGTACTCCCAAACTTACTGACTTAAAACAGCAACAATCATGTATTATCTCTCCAGGTTTATATAGGTCAGGAATTTTTAATCACAGCAGGAATAGCTTATCTCTTCTCCACAACATCTGAGATAAAGCTCTTTTAAAAACATCTTGAAAAACATGAAAGCTTGGACCTGAATTCATTTGAATGGTCATTCACTCAAATCTCTGACAGTTGATGCTGGCTTTCAGCTGGGGGCTTCAGTTCATTTCCACATGGGTTTTTCCATGTGGTCTGAACTTCATCACAACATGGTGGCTGCAATCCAAGGTCAAGTATCCAGAGAGAGAGAAAAAGAGGCAGGCAGAAGCTGTGTTACTTTCTAACCTAGAAAATCATGCAGCATCACATTCACTGCATGCTAATGACTGAGGCAAATGATCCATTCAGATTCAAGAGGAAAGAACATATACCCGATCTCTCAATGGAGGAGTATCAATATCTTGTAAGAAGAGCATCATGTGAGATGGGATATATACTGGCATTTCTTTTGAAAATACAGTGCCACAGTGGGTGTTTTCAGGCGGGGGAGCAGGTTGTTTCTGGGTGTTGGAGCACAAGTAAGATGAAGAGGATGTCCATGTGGGGAGTAGCCAGCTTGTAATGTTGGAACCAGAATGGAGAGAAGAAAGCTGCTATGTTGGGAGCAGGCAGCCTCACACAGGGTGACAGTCCAAGCAGGATGAAGAAGGTGTCTGTATAGAAGTCAAGACTACACTGGGTGTCTGACTCTGAGCAGGGTGAAAAGAGCACCAAATGGGTAAAAGGATGCAGGGGGCAGTGGCCCAGTATAGGTTGTTGAAACATCTGTGAAGTAAGAAGGGTATGTGCAGAGGTTAGGAGGCAGTAGAATTAATAGGAAACTGGTTACATTCAGGGGGATTTATCAAGTAAATTACCTACTCTGACATACATGTGATACCTGCAATGAAATGTTTGTGTAATATAAGGAAAACATCAACATTATTTATATCCTAACTAGAAACCTTGAAAAAGCATGATCATAACAATAAATGTCAATGATAAATGTATTCTTCAAAAAATTAAAATGGTTTTAATTCAACTCCTAGGTATATACCTAAGAATATTCAAAAACATATGTCTACAGAAAAACGTTCACACAAATATTCATAGTAGCATTATTCAAAATAGCCAAAAAAACAAAAGAACCTAAATGTCCATCAACTGATGAACACATGAACAAAATTTTGGAATTTTTTGGAATTATATTCATCAACAAAAAAGAAGTACTGACACATGCTAAAACATGGATAAATCTTGAAAATATATGAAGTGAAATAAGCCAGACACAAAAGGTCACATATTGTATGATTCATTTATATGAAATGTCAGAATAGGCAAATCCATACAGACAGAAAGCAGATTGGTGGTCCACAGCGGGTTGGGGGACTGGAGGCTTGGAAAGGGACAGCTAATGCATATGGGACTTCTTTTGGGGGTGATAAAAATGTCCCGAAATTAGACATAGTGATGGTTGCACAACTTTGTGAATATGCTAAAACCACTTAACTGTTCACTTTAAAAAAGTGAATTCTGGGGCGCCTGGGTGGCTCAGTTGGTTGAGCGTCTGACTTCAGCTCAGGTCATGATCTCACAGTTTGTGAGTTCGAGCCCCGCGTCGGGCTCTGTGCTCACAGCTCAGAGCCTGGAGCCTGCTTCCAATTCTGTGTCTCCCTCTCTCTCTCTGCACCATCCCCACTCATGCTGTCTCTCTCTGCCTTAAAAATAAATAAAATATTGAAAAAAAAAAAGTGAATTCTATGTTATGTGAATATCACAGTTAAAAATAATAATAATAAATCCAGTGAAAGTTTAACCTAGTATTAAATAAATGAGAAATCTATTAAAACATATAATAACATGTTAGAAGTTTTAAAAACATGACAAAGAATATAAATTTTTGCCAGAAGCCAACATTATCCTACAACTCAGTTCCCTTAAAAAACAGGGACTGTACCTTTACACACCAGCAATAAATAGATTAAAAATGTAATTTTTAGGGGTGCCTGGGTGGCTCAGTCGTTTAAGCATCCAACTTTGGGTGAAGTCATGATCTCACAGTTTGTGGGTTCGAGCCCCGCATCAGGCCCTGTGCTGACAGCTCAGAGCCTGGAGCCTGCTTCAGATTCTGTGTCTCCCTCTCTCTTCTCTCCCCTGCTTGTGCTGTCTCTAAGATAAATAAATGTTTAAAAAATTTTTTTAATGTAATTTTTATATTATACCATACAAGGTACCTAGAAATAAATATTCAACAAGTGGAACTTTATGGATACAATTATAATAATTTATTAAAATATATTTTAAAAATTAATACTAAATGAAAAGATTTATGGGGTGCCTGACTGGCTCAGTCGTTAGAGTATAAGACTCTTGATTTGGGGGTTGTGAGTTCAAGCCCTGTGTTGGGTGTAGAGATTACTTAAATAAATAAGCTTTAAAAAATGCAAAGATTTATATATCAAATTCATGAATAGAAGAACTCAATATCATTAAGATAGCAATCCTCCCCAAGTTGACCCATGCAATTTAACAAACAGATTCTAACATATATGTAAAGGATTGGCCAAGAGAATTATGAACAATGCCGTAAGAATTCCCTACCAGATATTATGGATTAGAAATAAATAAGTCAATCTCATCTCAACACCCATTAAATAATGACTGAATAACATTTTGGGTAGATATCTTTAGTCCTTTTTTCTAATATATGTATAAACAAAAATATATGTAAACTCAAATTAGAACCACACTATACATACTATTTTTAATCTGCTTTTTTCATTTAACAATATATCATAATCATTTTCCCAGTCTATAATAGCTTAATAATCAACTTCTAAAAACAATTTAAACAACAAGGTAACATTAGTGGTGGAGAGACACATTAGTGTACTGCACACAGCAAAAGGAGTAGATCCAGGGCCCAGATCCATATTAATATGCAACTGTTTAAGTCAAACACTAAGTACCTAAAAGGATTAACTACTATATCCATAAAAGCAAAGCAAATACTGAAAGAGGGTAAAAACTGATGAGAAATATTAAAATGTAAAGAAACCATGAAGGAGAGTAAAGGAATGAAATATACTGACAAAACTGATAAATCCTAACTCCCAGAATAGTCTGCCAAGAACTCCATCAGACCAATAACCAACAACTCACACCATATCCCCAGGAGAAGTCCGAGCTGCCTTCAGTGGAGATCCCTGTGCCTGTATAACTTGGAAAAGCAGATCTTGAATTCCCAGTGTCAGCTGATGTAAAAGGTGATTCTTGTGTGATGTCAGACTCACTAAATGACCAATTTGGAAGGAAGAGAGAAAAAAGAGAAATTCTTATATTTCCTCAAGTTTCTGTAGCATTAACTATTCAGCAATTTACTAGATGACAAGCATATACACAAATATATCTATCCACAGGAGAAAAATAAATGAAGAACTTATCAATTAAGCATCATGGAAAAATCCTACCTAATTCCTGCAGAATTGATGACAGTGATTCTAAATAATTCTAGTCGTAGTTTACAATAAATATTTTTTAATATAATTTATTGTCAAATTGGCTTATATACAACACCCAGTGCTCATCCCAACAGGTGCCCTCCTCTTTCCCCTCTTTCCCCACTCTCCCCCACCCCCATCAACCCTCAGTTTGTTCTCTATATTTAAGAGTCTCTTATAGTTTGCCTCCCTCCCTCTCTGTTCGTAACTATTTTTTTCCCCTCCCTTCCCCCATGGTCTTCTGTTAAGTTTCTCAAGATCTACATATGAGTGAAAACATGATATCTGTCTTTCTCTCACAGACTTATTTCACTCAGCATAACACCCTCCAGTTCCATCCACGTTGCTGCAAATGGCATGATTTTATTCTTTCTCACTGCCAAGTAGTATTCTATTGCATATATAAACCACATATTCCTTTTTTTATTAAAAGATTTTTTTTTAAATGTTTTATTTGTTTTTGACAGAGAGACAGAGCATGAGTGGGGGAGGGGCAGAGAGAGAAGGAGACACAGAATCCGAAGCAGGCTCCAGGCTCTGAGCTGTCAGCACAGAGCCCGACGGGGGGCTCGAACTCACAGACCGCGAGATCATGACCTGAGCCAAAGTCAGACGCTCAACCGACTGAGCCACCCAGGCACCCCATACCACATATTCTTTATACATTCATCAAGTGATGGACATTTAGGCTCTTTCCATAATTTGGCTATTGTTGAAAGCACTGCTATAAATATAGGGGACATGTGCCCTCATGCATCAGCACTCCTGTATCCCTTGAGTAAATTCCTAGCAGTGCTATTGCTTGGTCATAGGGTAGTTCTATTTTTAATTTTTTGAGGAACCTCCACACTGTTTTCCAGAGTGGCTGCACCAGTTTGCATTCCCACCAACAGTGCAAGAGGGTTCCCATTTCTCCACATCCTTGCCAGCATCTATAGTTTCCTGATTTGTTCATTTTAGCCACTCTGACCAGTGTGAGGTGGTATCTCAGTGTGGCTTTGATTACAACAAATACTTTAACATTCTACTTATAACATCTACCCTTGAAAACTAAAAACATTTCAGAAATATGAAAGTAATATCTGGACTTGTGTGGCACTTTTACAGTTTACCAAGCACTTTTATAGATATAATCCCATTTATTCCTCCCAACAACTTGGTGATGTAGAAGTCAACCCCATTTTAAAGACAATCTATTGAGTTCTAGGTTTTGAAATCAGTTTTTATGATTATAATTTTTCTATGATACCACATTGCTTCTCAGAACCCTCTTTGAAGTTACAGAATGATAACTGCAGCTAATACTCACCATATGCCAATTATTGTGCCAAGTTTTACATACTTTATCTCATTTATATTTACAACACTGTTTAAGAGATACTATTACCTGGTAAGTAACTTGCCTAGTGTTACTCAGCTAATAAGTGGCAGAACCAGGATTAAAAATCAGATCTGTTAGACTCCTCCTGAGTCTTGTCTTTTAACTATGTAATAATACTACTTTAAGGGTTATAAGTATGATGTTTTCATTAGCTGTTCCAGAATAAAAGTTGAATGGTACTGGAAATGCAATAAAAGTCCTTGTTTTGTTTCATTAGTTCAAGATTAGATATCAAGCCCAAGCCAAAACACACACACACACACACACACACACACACACACACACACACACACAAAACACTTTTGCCATTATCCAGTGTAATAAGCAAACAAATACAATTTGTGTTGTTACCTTTGGGAACTCGTATCTTTTTCATGGCTGTCATTGGTAGAAGAAATTTCATCCAGCTGCTCTGGAAGGGGATGATGATTAATAGCATGTTTTGTTATTCCTTTCCTGTGAAAGATTTTTTAAAAAGTTATATTTCCTGTAAAGAAAAAAACATACTTTCAGCAGCTTAACCTACAAGTTAATCACCTACTTCCTGCTGCTCTGGGACTGCACTGTCCAATACAGAAGCCACTAGCAATTAGCAGTTAAAGTGTGGTTAATTGGTGTGATGAGCATCATTGGATGTTGTATGGAAGTACTGAGTCACTATACTGGACACCTGAAACTAGCATCAGACTGTATGTTAACTGGAATTCAAACAAAAACTTTAAAATTTGGTTAGTCAAAAATGGGATGTGCTTTAAGTTTATAACACACAGGATTTTGAAGGCTTAGTATGACAAGAACGTGTAATGGATCATTGATAGTTTTATCTTGATTACATATTAAAATGATAATATTTTGGATATACTAGATTAAAAATATATATTCTTAAAATAAATTTCAATTCAAATTTAAAATATAATAAGTTATAATCACATACCTATTAGAATAGCTAAAACAAAATATGGTAATAACACCAAATGCAGGCGAGGATGTGAAACCAGATATCTCATGCTCTCCTGGTGGAAATATAAATTGGTACAGCCACTCTGGAATAGTCTCACAGCTTCTAATAAAACTAAACACATGCATTTACCATAAGACCTAGTCATTCACTCTTGAGAACTGATCTCAGAGAAATGAAAACTTATGCTCACACAAAAATCTGTACACAAATGTTTGCAGCAGTTTTATTTATAATTGAAAAAAAAATGGAAACTGAAATGTCCTTTGATGGGTGAACGGTTAAACTCTGATATATCCACATGATGAATAAGACTGAGCAATAAAAAGGAGTGAACTATTGATACATGGAACAACTTGGATGGATTTCAAGGGCATCATGCCTGGTGAAAAAAGCAATCTCAAAAGGTTACATACTATATGATTCCATTGATATAATGTTTACAAATGACAAAACTATAGAGGTAGAGAAAAGATTAGTGGTTACCAGAGGATGGAGAAGGGAGTGGAAGTGACTATAAAGGGGTACACAAGGACATTCCTTGGTGGTGATAAAAAAGCCATCTTGATTGTACTGGTGGTTACACAGTTCTATAAATGAGACCAAACTGCACAGAAGTCTATATACACATACACAAAACAGTGGATATAAAGACTGATATAAAACTGATTTAACAGTATTGTACCAATATCAGTTTCTTGGCTTTGACACTATACTAGCTACATAAGTTGTCATCTTTGGGGGAAACTGGGTGAAGGGTTCATGGGACTCTATGTACTATTTTTGTAACTAACAGTGAGTCTATAATTAGTTCAAAATAAAAAGGCAAAAAATTAATTTTATCACTTTCTATTCTTTTAATGTGACTATCTGAAAATTAAAAATTATATATGTGGCTTATATTATATTTCTATTGGACAGTGCTGTTCTAGGGAATTCAACATGTACATTAGAATAAACTAAGGGGTTAATTATTTTATGTTCAAGTCTTAATCATCCATAGTAGACTTTCCTCCCCCACAAAATTCTGTAATAAATTAAGTTTAGGAAACACGATAGTCTAAACAAAGTACACAGGCTTCTTTATAAAAGGTCTTCTCAGGGTCTTTAATATGCCAATGTATATTATAAATCTCTAATATTCTTATTTCACAGAAAGGAAAGTGAAGCACAGAGAGACTAAGTAACCTGCTTAAGGTCATATGTCTAGGAAGTGATGGAGCCAGGATTCAAATCCAAGTACTCTGGCTCTGAGGCTTCTCAGAGCAAATGAATAATTTGAGAGTTTAGTGAATTAGACCATTTTCTTTTTTTTTTTAAATTTTTTTTCAACGTTTTTTATTTATTTTTGGGACAGAGAGAGACAGAGCATGAACGGGGGAGGGGCAGAGAGAGAGGGAGACACAGAATCGGAAACAGGCTCCAGGCTCTGAGCCATCAGCCCAGAGCCTGATGCGGGGCTCGAACTCACGGACCGCGAGATCATGACCTGGCTGAAGTCGGACGCTTAACCGACTGCGCCACCCAGGCGCCCCTGTTTTGTTTCTTAAAGTCCTCATATGAGTGAAATACTTATCACTTTTTAAGTATTAAAGCTGTATGTTGAAACCTTTTTTTTTCAAGCTCTTTTCAATATCTATAATTTGGAACTATTAGGGAGAAAAGGAAAGTTACTTCTTCAAAGCAAATTATCATAATGCCAAAAGTAAAAATTGCTTTTATTTTACTATCATTTAGATACATATAATCTTCATTATCTTCATTATTCACATCATACTCTCCTAGAGAATCACCTTTGGAGACAGTGGTCTTTAAGGAGTATCAAGTCAATAATAGAGAACAAGTAACAGAACTATACTGGATCAGTAATTCTGGCCCACTAAGTGCCTACCAGCAACTTTCTTCACAAAAGATTTTTTTTTTTTTTTTGCTACTTTCAGAATGGTCAGAACTAATTATAAAAGCAGGCTTTTGGCTAAGACCTGTTCCCTTTGTTTGGAAAATGACTTTCTTCTTCCTACTTCCTAAAAAGCTTATTATCTGAATTGCTACTGTGTAGATATCTTATTACTTAGTAGATAATAAGCTTCTGTAAGGCAAGAAGAGATCACAGATTTTCTTTGTATGGCTATTGTAGCAAGTAAAGATGGGAAGGGGCAAGAAAATTGCCAATTACTAAGGATCTACCCTGTGCCATTATTTTATTTCATCTATTTTATTTTATTTTATTTTATTTTTATTATTTCTTAATGCTTTTATTTTTGAGAGGGAGAAAGAGACAGAGCTCCAGCAGGGGTGGGGCAAAAAGAGAGAGGGAGACACAGAATCCGAAGCTGGCTCCAGGCTCTGAGCTGTCAGCAACCCATGAACCGTGAGATCATGACCTGAGACGAAGTCAGATGCTTAACTGACTGAGCCACCTAGGCGCCCTTGTGCCATCATTTTAGATATGCTTTTAGATAAGGTGTTAGTCCTATATTACAGAAATGAATGCTCAAGTATTTAGTAATCTGCTTAAAAGACACATGGCTAGAGAAGAGCTTAGCCAGAAACCCAGAGTGACTGAAAATTCCACGCTTGTTATTATCATGTATACTTATTTTTTTAATTTTTTAATGTTTATTTAAAAAAAATTTTTTTTCAACGTTTATTTATTTTTGGGACAGAGAGAGACAGAGCATGAACGGGGGAGGGGCAGAGAGAGAGGGAGACACAGAATCGGAAACAGGCTCCAGGCTCTGAGCCATCAGCCCAGAGCCCGATGTGGGGCTCGAACTCACGGACCGCGAGATCATGACCTGAGCTGAAGTCGGACGCTTAACCGACTGAGCCACCCAGGCGCCCCTTTAATGTTTATTTTTGAGAAACACACACACACACACACACACACACACACACACACACACACACACACACACAGAGTGTGAGTGGGGGAGGGGCACAGGGAGGGGGAGACAGCGTCTGAAGCAGGCAGGCTCTGAGCCCTCAGCACAGAGCCTGATGCGACCCTCGAACTTAAAAAGCACAATACTATGACCAGAGCTGAAGTCAGATACCTAACCAACTGAGCCACCCAGGCGCCCCTATACTTAATATTTAATTAATAAGTGTATAATTGCTAAAATTACATAGCTCAATGGAGAAAAAATGTTGGGATTTGAGGATTAAAAGGCCAAGCTCAAAACCTATTGGTTTTATAATCTTAGGATGTGTAACCTTTCTGATGTTTCAGCTTCTGAAAAACTGAAAGCTAATCATACCCATCTTACAGAATTGTTGCAAGGGATCAAAATGTGAAAGTCTTTTTGAAAGTGTAAAGCATTAATAAATGCAGGACATTATCATTACTTGCTAAATTACAACACCTCACCAAGGGTGGGAGGGGTGTATTTCAGCTGCAATATATACTCTCTAAAGCAAAACTTATCCTTAAGGATTCTGATGTTTAATTACAAAAATGGGGAAACAGAATGTATAATGATTATGACCAAGGCTTCAGGATCAGATTGACACCAGGTTTGTGTGCTCCACCACTTCCTGGCTGTGTAATCTTTGGCTTGCTACAATCTTTAAAAATCTGGGATCGTTATCTGTAGAATGTGCAAAATAATATTCTCTATTCTGGTATCCTTCCTAATAGGATTAAGTGAGCTAATGCATGTAAGCAGCTTTGCACGGTGCCTGGCACTAGATGTATTCAACTTTTTTGTAGCACTCAGCTATTAGTAACTTCTCGATTCGTCAATGGCCATTGACAGTGAGGCATGAAATACTGAGTAAGCTACAAATGCCAAAGACCCAGTCCCTGAGTTCAGGAAGTGCAGCCCAAGAGGGCCAAGCCCTAGGACAGCACAGGAGACATGCCCTTAGCTGGAGATGGAGGTGGAAGGGGGGCGTCCAACAAGGCTGGGAGGAAACAGTTCCTTCCCCTACCCTGAGAAAGGAAAGGTGGGAAGCGCCGCTTGGAAGGGGTCCCCAGAGCGCCCGCTGCCCGCCTCAGCCTCCCACGGCCCCGGTTAGGATGGCTGAGCAGTCCACTTACAACTCCAAGCTCTGTGGCACCGCCTTCCGGGTGTATCTGGAGATCATCCTCCTCTTCCTCCTCTGCCGCGGAGGGGGCGGGCACGCCAGGGTCGGGGCCTCGGGACCTGGCCCTCCCGCCGGCTCCGGCCCGGCCCCCTCCCGCCACCTTCCGGCCCCGTCACGCCCCGTCGCCTAGACTCCGCACCGCCACCTCTCCAGGGTCCCCACCCCTCTAGCCCTCCGCCCGGCCTGCTTCCCCGCGGGGGCGGAAGTGACGAACGCACCTGAGCACCCACCTAATGTTCCCGCGGACGCGCAGCAGTGACGTTGCTGGGAGTTCCGGGGCGAGCGGGTGTTTCAGGGGTGTCGGCTAACCTCAGGCTCCAGAGAAGCGTCTGGCCTGACCTTGGGCCGGACTTGGACTGCTACTGACGCGGTAGGAGGGGCGGTCGAGGAAAGGTGCCGCAGTCGAGACGCGTGGGGCAGGCCCGAGGATCGTAAGCGGAATTGGCTTCAGTTTGTCGGATGGAGGGAGAAAGCGTAGTCTGAGTCAAGAGCGCTAGACTCCAGCTCAGCCCTCTGCAGCTTGGTCTCTTCTCTTTTCTGTGCTCTGGTTTTCTCACCTGTACAGCAAGGAATTAGGCTGAGTGGTCTCGGAGCTCCTTCCAGTTCTGACACTAAATTCTTCATAAAAATGTGTGCTTGGCATTATGGGGCGGGTCGACAGAATTATCTGTCGCTCTGGGTTGAGAAGCCAAATGATTTGGACAGACTGCGGTGACTGGATGCAGGTTCCTCTCGACTTCGTTTTATTAGTCCTTTAGAAAACCGAGTAAGGATAAAAATCGAATTGTGCCTTACAGTGGACCATCCAGTACAGTGCTTGCCTTTACCAAGCCTCGTCTGGCAGCAATAGTGAGCTAGCACTTTTGTTTTAAGGAAAACCCTTAGAAAATAGATATCTATCTACCTGCTCTTAATATACTGGAGCTGTACCCCCTGAGACCTGAAAAGGGAGCAGTTTTAGGACAGCTGTAGGATCAAGAACCGTGGGCAAATTATTTTGGGGTGAGATGATAGGACATGAATGTTTTGTATTCCCCTGTGCCATACAATATTCATAAAAAGAGGTTGAAATTTTGCAGCCCAAGGGAGATTGCTCTTAAGAGCTTTCAAATAATAACAGTTTAAACTGGGGGAGGATTTTAGAAATGAAAGAGTAACATTCTCATTCTACAGTTAAGGAAAAGGCCCCAGAAAGAGAAAGTGAAGTGCCGAAAGTGACAACCAATTAGTGGCGGAACTGGGACTTTTGATAGTATTGAAACATAAAATGTTATTGTAGTGTTTCTCAAAGTGTGCTACACACACTACTGCTAGTACAAGGGCAAACATTTTTTTAAAATTCTTACACGCCTACGGGGCGCCTGGGTGGCGCAGTCGGTTAAGCGTCCGACTTCAGCCAGGTCGCGATCTCGCGGTCCGGGAGTTCGAGCCCCGCGTCGGGCTCTGGGCTGATGGCTCAGAGCCTGGAGCCTGTTTCCGATTCTGTGTCTCCCTCTCTCTCTGCCCCTCCCCCGTTCATGCTCTGTCTCTCTCTGTCCCAAAAATAAATAAAAAACGTTGAAAAAAAATTTTTAAAAATAAATAAATAAATAAAATTCTTACACGCCTATTAATTTGGGAATGTGACACTGGATTCCCATTTACTGTATTATATCAAAAGTTCTTTTAATATAATTTCAAGTATGAAGAACATAATTTTCAGCATAAAAACCTCATTAAAAGAATATTAAATAGGTGTTACTATTAATACTTGATAAAGTAAAAAAATTAAAATGATAGTATGTGGGTAACTGAATTTTGGAAAACAATGGAATCATCTAGAATCGTTTGAGAATTTGGATATTCTGCATTATTCTATGTGGTTTATGTTATTGAAACTTTAAATGTAGTTTTCAAAGAATGGAAGAAAATATGAAGCTTGCTACAGTGGAAGACACTGTGGAGTATCACCTATTCCTGATACCAGATGAACCAAGAGACCCAGAAAAACACAAAGAGATTCTTCAAAAGTATATTGAGAAGATAATGACCCACTTTGCACCTATGCTGGTCCCCTATATCTGGCAGAATCAGCCTTTCAATCTCAAATACAAACCTGGAAAAGGTATGGCTCTTTTACTTATTTTGATTTGATACATGTGAATTTTAATTCTGACAACAGTGATGTATAATAGTCCATAGTTCATTCAGTGTTGTCAGGAGATTTATAACCTGAACTTTTTAGATTAGTGATGCTTGCTTATATTTGGTTAAGCCCTTAAACTAACCAAAAAAAATTTTTTTTAATTCATTTGATGAAAGCTTTCTAATAGTAATTACCTTAGGAACCTAATACATACTCAAAATGATTAAACTGTAGCTATTTCTTTGGAACTTTACTTTTCTATGCTAGAATGTATCTGGGTACCTGTACTAAACAGGTTCAGGCATCTGCTTCCTTAACCATAGCCTCCTTTAGTGGTTACTCTGTATTCCTTGCTCTTGATCATGGGTTTCGTAGGCTGCCTTTTTTCACACAGTTGGCTCTACTTGACTTATAAAGAGCAATCATTGGGCTTAATGACCATTATTTGCCTCTCAGAAGTATTTTGAGGTTCTTTCATGCTTCCTTGTGTTGTTGGTGCTTAAGATCCGACCTCTGGCCAAGTATGGCATTTTTTGTTATCATTTCATATAGCTTTAGTAAAATGACTCCTGAATAGGTGACCAAGGCTCTGCTCCAGGGTCTTATTTCAGGAGTCTAGCATCTTTTAATACTGTCAGTCTAGGTCTTGATTTCGTGTTTATCTGTTATCTTTTGGTTAGCAGTTGCCACATGTCTTCCTTTGTGTTCATTTTATTGAACCCCTGTTCACTGAAACACATGTAATATTTATTGGCAAGAACACTCTCACAGTGGCACAGCACATCCAAGACCAACTCCTTATCTGTTTCCTAGAAAATCATTTTTACCCAATGTTTTGTTTTCCTTAATGGCTTTGCTATCCACCTAGTTATTCAAGCTTGTTAGTAATTCAGAATTGTATTCACCTCTTCACTTCACCATAGTCAGTCAGGCACTAAATCCTACTGTGGTTACTCCTAAAATATGACCCTTTCTCTACATTTGCTTGGCTACAATCTAGACCCTCTTAATCTCTTCATCTGGAAGATTACAGTAACCACCTAAGTAACCTCTCTGGTTCCAGTATCTCCAGTTCGTCACATTGTTGCCAGTTACCCTTGTGAAACACAAATTTGATCATGTTACTCTTCTGCCTAACATCCTTCACCAGTTCCCCATTGCTTCTGGATGAAGTTAAAATTGAAGTTTAATATGTAAAGTAGATAACAATAGACACTTTAATTGGAGCTTCTCTAGTTGAAGAAATTTGAGAGACCTGGGGTGAGGTGAAGAGTTAGTTGGGATGTTCTTCCCACCTGTTTTGTTTTTTTGTTTTTTTGTTTTTTGTTTTTTGTTTTTTGCCATGGCAGCTCTAAAAACACTCTATAATGTGCTTGTTTGACCCTTAGTCTGTTAATGTGGTAGATTACATTTCTTGATTTTCATACACATTCCATTCCATTCCAGGAATATATTCTACTTGGTCATGGTGTACAATCCTTTTCATGTGTTGAATTTAGTTTGCTAGTATTTTCTTGAGGATTTCTGCATTAGTGTTCCACAGAAATTGGTCATGGTTTTCCTATATTGTCTTTGTTTGGCTTTATTATGAGGGTAATGCTGGCCTCATAAAATGAGTTTGGCAGTGTCCCTCCTCTTCAGTTATTTGTAAGAGTTTGAGGAGGATTCATGTTAATTCTTCTTTAAATGTTGGTAAAATTCTGGGGTGCTTGGGTGGCTGTCAGTTAAGCATCCAACTTCAGCTCAGGTCATGATCTTACGGTCCCTGGGTTCGAGCTCCATGTCGGGCTCTGTGCTGACAGCTCAGAGCCTGGAGCCTTCTTCAGATTCTGTGTCTCACTCTCTCTCTGCCCCTCCCTTGCTCATACTCTGTCTCTCTCTCAAAAATAAATAAACGTTAAAAAAAAAAAGTTTAAAAAAATGTTGCTAAAATTCTCCAGTGAGCTTTTCTCTGTTGGGAAGTTTTTTGATTACTGATTCAGTCTCTTTCTAGTAACCAGAAGTAATTCAGTCTCCTTCTAGTGATCCAGTCTTGATATGTTGTGTATTTCTAAGAATGAACTTATTTCTTCTAGGTTATCCAATTGGTTGGTGTACAATTGTTCATATCATATGTTTCCTTATAGTCCTTTTTATTTCTGTAGTATAGGTTGTTATATTGCCTGTTTCATTTCTGATTTTAGTTACTTGTGTCTCCTTTTTTTTCTTACTAATTTAAGATTTTGTAAATTTTGTGATCTTTCAACAAACCAGCTCACCTTAGTTCATTTTTTTCTGTTGTTTTTCTGTTCTCTATTTCTTTTATCTCTGTTCTAATCTTCATTATGTTCTTCTTTCTGCTAGCTTTAGGTTAGCTTTTTCTTTTTCTAGTTCCTTAAGGTGTAAAGTTAGGTTGTTGATCTGAGATCTTTTATAACTATAAACTTCCTCTTAGCACTGCTTTTAGTATGTTACATCTTTGTTTTCATTTGTCTCCTTATATTTTCTAACTTCCTTTGTGATTTCTTCTTTGACCTATTGGCTTGTTTAAAAGTGTATTAAGTTCTACATATTTTTGAATAATGCACTTGTTTAAAAAATTCCTGCTCCATCTAAATCCTGATATTCCTAGAACACTTTATAGTCTGTCATGCTTATGTGCCTTTGCACATGCTATTCTCTTTTTGGAAAGCCTACTTCTGGTCATTCTTCCACATGAACATAGCTCAGATATTCTTTATGGTCACAGAGCCCTCAGTGCATATGTCCATTCATTATCTTGTTGTTGTTGTTGTTTCATTATCTTGTTTTGAGATGGTGTGGTTGTCTTGTCTCCGGTTGTCTATGGGTCCTCAAGGGTGGGCTTTTTATATCCTGTTCAGGGTTGCAACCCCAGCTCCCAGGTGTGGTACCTACAGTATAGTCAGTCAATGAATGTTCGTTTAACTGAATGATTACTTGTATGTTTATGTGCACAGACAAGTTTATTTGGTTACATGATTGCTTTTCTTTTGTTTTTAGGAGATGTTCCTGCTCATATGTTTGGCATGACAAAGTTTGGGGATAACATTGAGGATGAATGGTTTATTGTTTATGTAGTAAAGCAAATTACAAAGGAATTTCCAGAGTTAGTAGCAAGGTATTAGTTATTTTAATAATCTAAAGGAATTCTCTTGTTGAGACTGACCACATTTTTATCCATTTAGTAAAAATTTTTTGGTAGTCTGGTAGAGATTGAACAAATTTGAGACATAGATTTTGAAAGTGACTTGTGTGTTTTCTTCCTTTTTTCTTGTGACTTCCTTTTCTTGAGGAAAAATTAAAGTACATTGGAGAATTTAACTTCTAAATTTTTAAACGAAATCTGCCTATTTTAGCTTTTTAAAAATTATTCTCATTGTGAAAGATCAAATACAGATGGTAAACAAAGTTCAAACAATACCAAAGGGTGTACTGCTCTTTAAAAACAAAATCATAGGGGCGCCTGGGTGGCTCAGTCGGTTAAGCGACTTCGGCTCAGGTCATGATCTCGCAGTTCATGAGTTCCAGCCCCGTGTCAGGCTCTGTGCTGACAGCTCGGAGCCTGGAGCCTGCTTCGGATTCTGGGTCTCCCTCTCTCTCTCTCTGACCCTCCCCCGTTCATGCTCTGTCTCTCTCTGTCTCAAAAATAAATAAACGTTAAAAAAAATTAAAAAAAAAATAAAAAAATAAAAACAAAATCATAGAAAAAATTCCATTCATATATACATATACATTACAGATTTCTTTACTATGTCTTCCTTTATTTTACCATAGCGCGTACCCTCTCTCTCTCTCTTTCTCTCTTTCTCTCTCTCTGCATATATGTTGAGAAATCACATACAGAAAAATTTAAAGAAAAATTAGTGAACAGTATTGAAAGCAAAGGAGGTAACACTGTTTAAAATGGAAACTGATAGTTCTCTGTAATTACCAAGTTGTGTCAGCAGAGGGCGTTTCACCCATTTGCCGCATGTTATTCTAGTTTTCCTGTTAGCCCCAAATTCTAATCCATTCCCCCAACCTCTTCCCCAGCTGAACAAAAAGAAAAACAACTCTGAAAATGTATTATTATATCAAAATTTCAAACATGAAAGTAGAGAGAATGAACCCACGTGTACTCCTCACTCAGCTCCAATAATTACCAATTCATGGTCCTTCTTTACCCATAGCTTTCCCCTCCTCCTTTCCCCTACTCCTTTTACATAACAAGATTATTTTAAAGCAATCTCCAATACTATGCCATTTTATCTTTAAATACTTTTAAGATGTAAATAGAATAGATAAGAACTCTTATTTTAGACACTACTGTTATCACACCTAAAAAGAATTGTCAGTAATTTCTTCATAAATGATAGAATTTTATATGAACAAACTCCAAGATAGTTGTTTCTATCTTTACAATGGTAATAGGGGAGGGCAATGCCTTTTGTGTATGGATTCTGATCTTTATATAATGATGGTGCATACCTACACACCAGGCCTATAAAGCTCTTTGACTAATAGGCATCTACTGTCTTGTTGGGGATTTGGTTTTTAAATTTTTTTTTTAAGTTTGTTTATTTTTGAGATAGAGAAAGAGAGCGTGAGCAGGGGAGTCACAGAGAGAGAGGGAGACACAGAATCTGAAGCAGGCTCCAGGCTCTGAGCTGTCAGCACAGAGCCCGACACAGGGCTCAAACTCACCAACTGTGAGATCATGACCTGAGCTGAAGTCGGACACTCAACCAACTGAACCACTCAGGTGCCCCTTGTTTTTAATTAGAAAAAGAAAGAACTTCCTCTATGTCTCTGCCAGATTAATCTTCCTAAGGTAGAGCTCTAACCATTTTCCTACACTGCTTTAAAACCGTTCATTCCTTAAAAAAAAAAAAGAATAGAATAGAATAAAACCAAGCTCATTCTCATTGACTCTGCCGACATTTAAAGCTCTTCCCAAAATGATATAACTGTGCTTTTCTAGTCTTGTTCTTTACTAGTGCCATTTTCCAAATATCTACCTTAAATAGACACCTCCATGATTTGGTCATTGCTAATCCCTCTCCCAAGAACATCTCAACTTTTCTCCGTATATCTCCACCCATAAAAAGTGAAAAAATCTAGAACAGTATATAAAATACGCTACCTTTTGTGTGACAAGAGGAGAAAATAAGAGTTTATATTCCTATTAACTAGATTATGCTTAAGTGAACCTAGAAGGATAAACAAAAAATAACAATGGTTGGAGGATAGGAATGGGGCATATAGGGACAAAAGTAGGAAGGAAACTGTTTCATTGCAGAACTTTTTATGTACTTTTTAAAAGTTTAGCCATGTGACTGTCTTACCTATTCAAAAATTTAAATTTAAAAAATAATACAAATGAGGCAAAACAAAATTATCTTTCAGGGTCTAAGTAACTCTTCCATAAAGGCTTTCCTTATCTTGGCTCTATGTGGGTTTTTTCTTCTTTTGACACCTAATTGTATGTTTTTCATATTTGTGTCTGTTATTATTTACTTATGTACTTTATTTGTTCTCCTTATCATCTCCCTCCAACTCCTCTTTCAATCTTACAATCTCCCTGAGAGATTCATGGTGTCTCAAATATTTTGCTTTATTATAACAATCTGTACATAGCATGTACTCATACATTAACTAAAATGAAAGAGAACATATTAGAATAAATGTGTTTTGATTCATAGCATATATGTGCTTTTTGAATGCATAATTGGAATTTCTTTTGCAAAAGGATTGAAGACAACGATGGTGAATTCTTGTTAATAGAAGCTGCTGACTTTCTCCCTAAATGGTTGGATCCTGATAATAGTGCCAATAGAGTAAGTGTATCCAAGTTTGGAAAATTTACAGAGATGAAATCATGTTACTAGTACCTAGAGTTTGTCAGTGCCCAGAATGAAAATTAAAATGTATCATTTTGCAGGTATTTTTCCACCAGGGAGAGCTGTGCATTATTCCTGCACCAAGGAAACCTGGAGCAGTATCCTGGTTACCCTCTACACACCCTACAATCCCACAAGCTTTGAATATAATCTCAACACACCCAGAAAAAATTTTGGCTTCAGATTCTATACAAGCTGCTGTGAATAGGCGCATTAGAGGGTAAGAAAAATATTTTCAGTGCTAGTCAAAGAGCCTTTTGATTTAATGCGGTTCAAGTCTTCCACTGAATGTAGAATTTCTTTCACCTAGATTAATGCTCATTTTCATTCTGTCTTCATCCTTCATGAAAGTGACTAAAAACAGATTAAATTTACATGTTTTAAAATTAAGGAACAGATGTATCTTTTAATTCCCAATCATAGATGTTATATTACAGTCCCAATACTTTTGCATTTATTTACTTAGATATTGTGGCTAAGTTCTATCTATATCCACAGGTAAAAATTTTGAGACCTTGGGACACCTGGGTGGCCCAGTTGGTTAAGCATCCAACTCTGATTTCAACTCAGGTCTTGATCGCAGGGTCATGAGTTTAAGCCCCTCGTTGGTCTCTACACTGGACGTGGATCTTACTTCAGTATTTTTTGAGACCTTTAGGAATGAAAACCTAAGGGAGCATAGTGTGCTTTGTGGGACTCTGTATAGTATTCTTTGGTCTGTGTGGAACACTTTAGGCTCTATGCCGAAAAGACAGTCTTTACCTAATAACAGATTAGTTCAACCTTTCACATTTGAGTACCTAGGCAATGTTTACTACCATTCAAGTTTTAACAATATAAAAATCTCTCTTAACTTTGTTTCAGCATACTTTGTACCATTGTTTTAAAAGAATAAACTCTGATTTTATTCTTGTTCCAAAAAATAGTAGAGTTTTCATTTTGTTTTTATTGATCTACATTAGTCCCTTTTCTTTATTTTCCATTTCTTCCCACCTTTTCTCTTTCTCTTCTTTTCTGCAGTTTTAGTGTATATGGTAGCTTTATCTTCACTTTCCTTGTCATTCAACATCTCTTGATGAACCAAGACAAGGGGAACTAAATGCTATAGAACGCTAGATATTTACATATTATAAAATAAAAATAATTATGTTACCTGTCACAGATACCCAGAAAAAATTCAAGCCTCGCTTCATCGAGCACACTGCTTCCTTCCAGCTGGTATTGTAGCGGTGTTAAAGCAGCGCCCCAGATTGGTGGCTGCAGGAGTCCAAGCATTTTACCTACGGGACCCTATTGACCTGCGAGCCTGTCGTATTTTCAAGACTTTCTTGCCTGAAACACGAATAATGGCATCGGTAAGATAGCTCTCCTGGTTATTTGGTTCCTCACTAGCAAGAGAGTTGAACATCATTTTAATTGTGCACTAGAAAAAACTGAAAATATTCTGCTTCCTCATCTCAAGTTAATACACTTTTTTTTTCTTTTCTCCCATTCTAGTGGAGGAAGATTTCAAGAGATTTCACTCCCTAGTTTGTATCTAAATGTTTCCTAGGTATTTTCTGGCCACATTTTCCCTATTTTGTTTTCTTCTTAAGAATAAAACATTTCATTTCTTCCAGAGAATTAAGAATTATTCTTTATCTAACAACCCACCCAAACTGCCATATAACGTAACTGATAAGAATTCCATTAGTGATAACTAAAAACAGATCATGCAGTTAATTTATGGTATGTGAATTATTGTATCCCAATAAAGCTGTTACTAAAAAATGTAGGCAGTAAATAGGTTGGATCTTCTTTGCATTTCATATGAATATGAAGCTCATAAGTGGAACTGTGAAATGATATTGAATTTTTACTTTCAGGAAGACTCAATGTATTTTGTGTCCCAATGTCTAGGTCACTTTCACTAAATGTCTATATGCACAGTTGGTGCAACAAAGGTTTGTGCCAGACCGGCGGAGTGGATACAAGATGCCTCCTCCATCTCATCCCCAATACCGAGCCCATGAATTGGGCATGAAGTTGGTAATGAACCATAAAATTTTATATTCTTCCTTTAGGTAAAAGGGCTCTTAATAAATAATGGCACAGCATAGAAAGTCTAGAAATATACCTTATTTACATGAGAATGTGGCTCTCAAACAAGAAGGAAAATGTGTTATTCAGGAAATGATAATAGAACAACTGAGAAGCTGTCCAAAAAGTTAAAGTTCATTCCCTCACACCTATACCAAAATAAATTCCAGGTGGATGAAATATTTAAATGAGAACATTGAAACCATAATATCTGAAAACACAGAAGAATTTTTGATAATTTGAGTAGAAAAGGCCTTTTAAAACAGGATTTGAAATCAGAAGCTATAAAAAAAAGACTGGTAACTTTATTAAAAATTAAGCATTTCTGTGTTGGAAAGAAAAATCCCATAGGTAATGTCAAAGATAGTAAACCTGAAGAAAGCATTATATTTGCAGTTTAAAAAAGAGCTAATTTCTATAATATATAGAGAGTTCCTACAAGTCGGTATGAAAAGAAATACTAATTAATTAATTAAAAATGTTCAGAAACCATGAACTGACAGTCCACAGAAAAGGAAATACAGATGATTTTTAATTTAAACATAAAAATGTTGGCCCTTGCTCATAATAAAAGAACTGCAACTTAAAGCTACAAAATAGTGTTGTTTACTTTGGCAAGTATCAAAAAGTTTGATAGTATATACTGGATTGGTGGAAATACATATTTGAGATACTCTCAAACATCATTGATGGGAATATAAATTGATTCAGTCTCTTAGAACAGTTTGTCAATATCCATCAATTTATAAAGTACACAACTCTTCTGCTCGGCATTTTCACTTCTAAACATTTATCCTCCATGTATTTTACATGTGTACATAGATCTGATGATACTCATGACAGTATTATTTCTGGTAGCAAAAGATTGGAAATTACCAAATATCTATTAGTAGGGGAATAGTTAGATAAATTACAACCTGCCTATGAAGTGAATTGGATAAATTTGTGTGATCATATAAAATGATCTCCAAGGCATATGACTTAGTGAAAAAGCAAGGTTTAGAACAGTGTGTATGCTACCATTTAGTGATGGAATAGGATATACAGACACAGATACACATCTGCTTGAGTGCATACATTACTTCTGAAAAGATACGCAAGAAATTGGTAACTATAGTTTCCTCTAGAGTGATCAGGAAAGCTCCCTATATAATTTATTTTATGTGCATTCATTATATTTTTTAATCAAAGTACCCTTAAAATGATATGATTCCTTCCCTTTACTATATCTAAGACCATGGTGAATTCATTTATATTTTCCGTTAGATGAGAAGCCTTTTCTAAGCCTTTTTTTAAGCAAACAACAAATAAGTTTAAATTTCTGGTTTTGTGATCAGCAAGAAATCTCTTTGAAGAGAATAAGATCTTTGTTTTGCATTATTTGCTTTCCCTTTATAATTTTTAGTAATCTCTATATAGAAATTGAAAAATTGGAGGGGCACCTGGGTGGCTCAATCAGTTATGCATCTGACTCTTGATTTTGGCTCAAGTCATGATCTCACAGTTCATGAGTTTGAGCCCCACTGCTTGAGATTCCCTCTCTCTCCCTCTCTGCCCCTCCCTGCTCATTATCTCTCTCTCTCTCTCTCTCTCAAAATAAATAAATAAACAAATAAACTTTTTTTTTAATGGAAAAATTAGAAATAATCACATTTTTCATAAAATTCAAAGTGTTATAAATGTCCATATGTCAAATGACCTAGTTCTTAAGTGTGACTAAATGGAAAGAAAATAACTTAATGATGAAAATTCTGTCTATTCTATCTAGGCTCATGGATTTGAAATCTTATGCTCCAAATGTAGCCCACATTTTTCTGACTCCAAGAAATCCCTCATGACTACCTCACCACTCTGGGCTGGCTTCCTTGAAAGTCTGAAAAAGAATGATTACTTTAAGGTAGGACTTGCAATGCATTTGTAAAACTGTACAGTCCAGGGGAAATCAAGCTAGTGAATTAGAGATCTATGGTCCATATTTAATGTATAACATTATTAGAGAAGCTAGAGTTAAAAGGGACCATTCTAGTTCAGTGTTAATGAGGGAGTGACTATGAACTGTTTCCCATATTTTAGAAAAGTTAATAATGTTTATATAAAATTATGATAGTTATCATTTGTATCTGAAGAGCAATTTATGCAAATCATAAGGCAAATATGAAGACACCAAATAGAAAATGAGCAAAGACACGGATTAAAAAAATTACAAAAAGACAACTAATAAATTTCTTGTAAAATATTTACTCTCACAAGTAGTAAAGATATATGTATCAACAGAATAATAGTTTTTCACGTATGTGAAAAAGGATCTGAATGAGGCTTAATGCTATTGAAAGTACAAATTAATACTCCCTATACATTGCTGGTAACATTGCATATTGATAGAACTTTAACTGGAAAGTAATTTGCTAGTGTGTTCCAGGAGCTATAGAAAGGTTCAAACTCAGAACCTTTACTTTGAATAATCTATTTTAAGGAAACATCCAAGAAGTAGAAAAGTCCATTAAGAATATGATGGTATATGAACAGACATTTCTCCAAAGACATACAGATGGCCAACAGATAAATGAAAAGATGCTCAACATCACTAACCCTCAGAGATGGTGAGGCTAAATCAGAATGGCTAAAATCTAAAACACAAGAAACAACAGGTGTTGGTGTGGATGTGGAGAAAAGGAACCCTCACGCACCATCAATGAGAATGCAAACTGGTACAGCCACTGTGGAAAACTGTATAGAGGTTTCTCAAGAAATTAAAAATAGAATTATTATATGATCCAGTAATTTCACTACTGGTATTTACCCCCCAAAAATGAAAACACGAATTCAAAGGGATACATGTATTGCTATGTTTTTTGCAGCATTATTTATAGCCAAGATTATTTATAGCCAAGGGAACCAACCCAAGTGTCCATCACTAGATAAATAGATAAAGAAGGTATGGTATGTGTATACACACACACACGCACACACACACATATGCAATGGAACATTACTCAGCCGTAAAAAGAATGAAATCTTGCCATTTGCAACAAAATGGATGGTTCTAGAGGGTAGAATGCCAAGTGAAATAAGTCAGTCAGAGAAAGACAAATACCATATGCTTTCACTCATATGTGGAATTCAACAAACAAACTAAACAAACAAAAAACCAAACTCTTAGCTATGGTTATCAGAGGGCAGGTGGGAGGATGGGTGAAGTAGGTGAAGAGGATTAAGAGTACAATTCTTGTGGTGAGCACTGAGTAATGTATAGAATTATTATGTTATATACCTGAAACGAATATAATACTGTATGTTAATTATACTGGAATTAAAAATTTTTTTAAATATCATATAAAGACTGTAGCAATATAGAAAAGTGCTTATGATATCATAGTATATTTTTGAAAGAGTGTGAAATATTAAGTACAAATGCCAAAATGAACATGCATGTGAAAAGCAGAAATGGCAGTGAAAATGAGATTATGCTATTTTTTGGTTCTATTTGTACTTTGTTTTATAAATTAATTACAAATCAATTATTTCTTAATAACCAATAAAGTACTAGAAAATGGTAGAAAATCTTCCAAATTGAAAAGAGGTCTTTAATGGTGAAAAGGATTAGGAAGCACTACATAGAGCCTAGTCCCCTTGTTTGGAGAAAATGGAGCCCAAACAGGTACATTAATGACAAAACAGGGACTAGGACTCAGGCCTCGTGATTCCTGAACAACGTATCATACACTGCCTCCCTGAAAATTACTGGTGAGTGGGTAATTTCAGTGATACCATGTAAATAATGTTATGATTTTTTTCTTTCAGGGTCTGATAGAAGGTTCTGCTCAGTACCAGGCAAGGCTAGAAATGGCAAAGAACTACTTCCAACTCTCAGTAAACCGGCCAGAAAGGTGAGTTTATCACTACCTAACCATGGCAGCAAGAGTGGTAACCTGCCAGATGTTAAGGAGTTGCTCACTCTTGAGATAGTTGCAGAAATTGGAATTGCTGTATTTAAAGAGTTAACGGCAAGGATCATGACTGCTGAAGGGGATGAACTGGGAGAGAGGAGGTGTTGCTACAGAAGATCACTGGATCTGGCACCCGTCATCATCATCATCACCTAACGGCTAATGTTTATTGGTACTTACAAAGTGTATTGGTACTTAAAAATTTGTTTGATCTCTCTTATAGTCCTGTGAAATAAGTATGATTATTATCATTCCCTAGTTACAGCTGAGGCCAAGAGAGATTAAGTAGTTTGCCAAAGTTCACACAGCTAATTAGTGACAGATCTAGGATTTGAACTCAGGCAGTCTGATACCAAGCATGTGCTTAATTCCTGTAGGAGCCCTTGACTGTGTTTAGCTACATTTAGGAGAGGCTGAAACATAGGATAAAGCAGGCAGTCAGCTTTCAAATCACATCTCATTCTAACCTGCCATACATTGCCTAGAAAAAGGAAGAAATGAACACAGGGTTGGCAGGAAATGGCACCATTTTAAAATTTTATAAAGTCAAGTTCTCATAATGGTGGAGTAACATATCCAACTAACCCCCTGCCAAGTGTAATTATAAACCCTGGATGGAATTTAAGAAACAGTTATTTGAAGACACAGTAGAACAACAAAATTGGGCCAAAATTGAAGGAAATAGAACCCTTTGAAAGAAGAAAATCACAATAGATGAGGTCCTCATTATCTGAGTTGTCACCTGAGGTCACTTCCTAGTCAGTGCAGCACCAAGGAAAATAGAGCTCAAGCAGAAAACTTTGGTCTTATTGAGCTCAGGAATCAAAGGTCAGATTTTGAGTATTGGAAAAAACTCAATTTATGTTTGTAAAATTGAATTTGAGATACTCAAAGCTATTAAATAATATAAAAGCAATGGCTTTTGTATATATCATGGTTAAAATGTCCCAAGTTGTAGGTGTTTTTCATTTGTTGGACTTTTTTTTCTTTTTTCCCTGGAGGAAACTTAATTGGTTTTGAATTTCATTCATTTTGCTTACATCTCAAACATCACTTATTTGTGTAATAGAATGTTCTTTGAGGACTGGTGAAGCAAAGTTGATGCTGAGAGAACTCTAACCTCAGTGTCTGTGAGATAATAATGACTTTACAGCAGTCTTTACTCTTTCAGAAGTGTCTGCGTATGGCTTTGTCCTGCTCCCATCAGTTTTATGGCAGTAATTGATGGTAAAAAGAGGATGCCTTCTTAGGGAATCATTTCAGAAAACTTGCTCGAGAGTCAGAAGAGGAAAAGAGGTGGACTCATGTTTAGGAGAATCTGCCCCAGATGATTCCCATGCACCTCCGTGGGCCACTCTGTCTGTGAAGACACGTCACCTTACAGACTTGGGTTAAAGAGATGTTAGAAAATTAGACTCAATGTGTAGGAGAATCAGGGCTCCTCACACAAAATAAGATAGATTGGTGGTTAGGTAGTTATTTTTAAATAATGGAAGTTTGTTAGGGCACCTGGGGGCTCAGTCAATTAAGCATCTGGCTCTTGATTTTGGCTCAGGTCATGATCTCAAGTTTTGTGAGTTTGAGCCCTGCATCGGGCTCTGCACTGACAGTGAAGAGACTGCTTGGGATTCTCTGGCCCTCTGTCTCTGCCCCTCCCCTGCTTGCACGTGCTATCTCTTTCTCTTTCAAAATAAATAAATATTAAATAGATAATGAAGTTTGTTGTTGTTACAAAAGTAATGTATTCACTCATTATAGCAAATAAAGATGTAATAAGGAAAAAATATATATCAGAGAGTCAACTACTATTATCATTTTGATCTACTGCATTCCAGGATTTTTTTTCCCCATATCTATCTAGTTGATTTTTTTTAAATTGTACTATGTAAAAATTTTGTATCCTGCCCATAATTTTACTTATTACCATCTTACATTTTCCAATGACATTAAAAAGTATTTATAAGTGTAATTTTATTTTATTTTTTCTTAAAGATTACATATTTATTTTGAGGGAGAGAACATGAGTGGGGGATAGGCAGAGAGGGAGGGAGAGAGAGAATCCCAAGCAGGCTCCCTGCTGTCAGTGCAGAGTCCGACACAGGGCTTGAACCCACAAATTATGAGATAGTGACCTGAGGTGAAGTTAGACGCTTAACCGATTGAGCCACCCAGGCGCCTCTATAAGTGTAATTTTAAAGAGCTGCACAACATTTCAGCAAATGGATGTACCATGACTTACTCAACACACCTTTACTATTGGAGAAAGAATTATAAGTAGCTTAAATGTCCAACATTGTAAATAGTGCTGCAGAAGAGACTCCTGTTCCCCAAACCAGGATAACTTCTAAACAATTTAAAACCAAACTCACATCTCCCTCCAGACCTGTTCTTGAATTCCCAGTTTTTTGGGTTTTTTTTTTTTAAACTTAGATTAATGTCAGAGACTGTTTCCCACTCTCTTTTTTAATAGACTACCATCCTTCTTATCACCTAGACCTCCTGGCTCTCGTTTGATCCAGTCCCTAGATCTTTTTTTTTAATTTATTTTGAGAGAGAAGGAAAGAGAGTGCATGTGCATTAGCAGGGGAGGGGCAGAGAGAAGGGGAGAGAGAGAATCCCAAGCAGTCCCCATGTCAATGCAGAGCCTGACATGGGGCTCCATCGCATGAAACATGAGATAATGACCTGAGCCAAAATCAAGAGCCAGATGCTTAACTCACTGAGCCACCCAGGCTGCCCCCTAAATCCTTTTTATTGTTATCTTGTGTCTTACATTTTTCTTTTTTGCTGCCTACCTACTCTAATATGTATATATATATTTTAACACTTATTTCTTGAACTATAACGATACCTAAACTTGCTTCCCAACCTCTAGTGACTCTCCACTTCCAATGCAACCATTAGAGCCAGAGAATATGCTTGAAATATATCTTTAATCATATTACCCCCCTCCTAAAAATTATTAGAGATTGTAATAGTGAAAAATTGAACAGTGTAAGTATCCATCAATAGTAGATAAATGGATTGCGGTGTGTTTGTAGGATAGACTACTATCCATTACGTAACCAGAGATTAGCTAAATATATGTAAACCAATCCAAGGTTTCTAAACCTTGGCATTGTTGACATTTTGTACAAGATAATTCCTTGTTGTGGGAGACTGTTGTGTGCATTATAGGATGTTTAGCAGCATCTCTGGCTTCTACCTAGTAAATGCCAGTAGCTGTCCACCCTGCCCCCAATTGTGACAACTAAAAATATCATCAGACATTGCAAATGTCCTCTGGGGGCAAAATTGTCCCCAGTTAAAAACCACTGATCTAAATAAATACGTCTTGTAAACATGATGTTGAATGAAAAAAGGATATTGTAAATGTGTACAGTATGGATTCTATTACATATAAAAAGTTTTAATACATAGGGGCGCCTGGGTGGCGCAGTCGGTTAAGCGTCCGACTTCAGCCAGGTCACGATCTCGCGGTCCGGGAGTTCGAGCCCCGCCATCAGGCTCTGGGCTGATGGCTCAGAGCCTGGAGCCTGTTTCCGATTCTGTGTCTCCCTCTCTCTCTGCCCCTCCCCATTCATGCTTTGTCTCTCTCTGTCCCAAAAATGAATAAACGTTGAAAAAAAAAATTTTAAAAAGTTTTAATACATAAAATACTATATATTACTTATAGACATGTATATATTAATTCATTCAACCAATATTTATTATTTCCAGGCACTAGGGATACAGCAAGCAAATCCAAAGTCTCCCTGCCCTTATGGAGTTTACGTGCTAATGTAGGAGAAAGACAATAAATCACTATATGCTGTTAGATGGTGATCAGTGCTTTAAAGAAAAAAAACAGCGTGTGGGGACAGAGAGGTCTAGGCTGCTCTTCTAGATAGTTTGGTCAAGGAGGACTTTCCAAGGAGGTTTAGTTTGAGAAGACACATAAGTGAAGTGAGGGAATGAGGCATACAGGTATTTGGGGGGATAAAATTCCAGGGAAAGAGAACAAACAGCAGTTACAACATAGATACGTACACATGCGTGTGCGCACACACACAGACATTCACACATATACACACTCAGTGGACCAGAAGGGTATTTGTGAGAGCAATCATTTCTGGGTAGCAACAAGATGGATTGGAACTGATAGTGTTGGTCATCAAAGGAAAAATATTAGCTTTATGTATAATTTTTAAGGAAATGTATATGTTACTTGTTTAATTTTTTATGTTAAGTGTCAAAGTATAATCATACCTTTAGATTAGAAGTATAACAATATTATAATTCTAGGTGGGTAAAGATATGCTATATCATCTTTTTTTTTTTTTGGTCATCTTTTAGACTTGTCTGCACTATTTAAATCTCTTAAAACAAAAATTAAAAATAAAAAAGAAGCCGTCAGTGATCACCTACTGCTTATTTCATTGAGTCCAAACTTAGCCATTTCAGGCTCACTGTGCTCTCATTTCAGTCCATCTGTTCAGCGCTGTCTGCCCCACTTAAGCCACACTGAACACCATTTGCTTTGTGAACATGTTCCTCAATTCTCTGCCTCTATACAAATGTTCGTTTCCCCCTCTTGCCTGAAGTTTCTCTACCCTATCTTCCTTGTCAAAATCTTACCCATTCTTTAAGTCCTAACTCAACTACGTCCATTATCTCTTTTCCTTTTTAATTTTCTTGTAGTTAATGTAATCATCTCCTGTGACTCTACATAGCATTGGTATTCCTATATGATTTTATATTTTGTAACTTGTTTTGATTATTTGTGTATTTCTTTTCTCTCTCCTAATAATATTTTCATAATATGGAGTAGGGATGATTTCTTGTCACCCACATGATTTAGCAAGGTATGCAGATCTTTATTAAATAAGTGTAAGTCCATTCTATAACTTGATTTGTTCCATTCTAAATAGGTCAGGGAAGCATGGGTGACTTAGTTGGTTAAGCCTCCGACTTTGGCTCAGGTCATGATCTAGCGGTTCGTGAGTTCCAGCCCTGTGTTGGGCTGAGCCTGCTTTGGATTCTGTGTCTCCCTCTTTTTCTGCCCCTCCCTTACTCGTGCTCTTTCTCTCTCAAAAATAAATATTAAAAAAATTTTTTTAAATAGCTCAGACAGGGTTCAGGTTTCCATTAATTTATGTAATAGGTCATATTGGGGTGCCTGGGTGGCTCAGTCCGTTAAGCGTCTGACTTCAGCTCAGGTCATGACCTCGTGATTTGTGAGCTTGAGCTCCACGTCGTGTTCTGTGCTGACAGCTTAGAGCCTGGAGTCTGCTTCAGATTCTTTGTCTTCCTTGCTCTCTGCCCCTCCCCCGCTCACACTCTGTCTCTCTCTCAAAAATAAGTAAACATTAAAAAAAAACAAAACAGGTTACCTTGCCATCATAAAATAGTATGCTCATTATATAGATAATTTCTGTGCATATTTCCTCGTTAGTTTATTGTAGGAAGATCATAAAATAGTATCAGAAGACTTGATTTCAAGCTTTTGCTGTCCAACTCAAGGACCTTGTAAAAGTTATAGAATATCACAGCGCTCTGGTTTTCTCCTCTATAAAACAGGATTATCACTTATAATAGTAATTAGAGGACTAAATAAGAAAATGTATTTAAAAAATTTTTTTTAAATTTACATCCAAGTTAGTTAGCATATAGTGCAACAATGATTTCAGGAGTAGATTCCTTAATTCCCCTTACCCGTTTAGCCCATCCCCCTCCCACAACCCCTCCAGTAATCCTCTGTTTGTTCTCCATTTTTAAGTGTCTCTTATGTTTTGTCCCCCTCCCTCTTTTTATATGATTTTTGTTTCCCTTCCCTTATGTTCATGTGTTCTGTGTCTTAAAGTCCTCATATGAGTGAAGTCATATGATATTTGTCTTTCTCTGACTAATTTCACTTAGCATAATACCCTCTAGTTCCATCCACTAGATGGCAAATGGCAAGATTTCATTCTTTTTATTGCTGAGTAATACTCCATTGTATATATATATACCACATCTTTATCCATTCATCCATCGGTGGACATTTGGGCTCTTTTCATACTTTGGCTGTTGTTGATGGTGCTGTTATAAACATTTGAAACAGCATACCTGTATCCCTTGGATATATATCTAGTGGTGCAATTGCTGGGTCATAAGGTAGTTCTATTTTTAATTTTTTGAGGAACCTCCATGCTGTTTTCCAGAGTGGCTGCACCAGTTTGCATTCCCACCAGCAGTGCAAAAGAGATCCTCTTTTTCCACATCCTCACCAACATCTGCTGTTGCCTGAGTTGTTAATGTTAGCCATTCTGACAGGTGTGAGGTGGTATTTCATTGTGGTTTTGACTTGTGTTTCCCTGATGATGAGTGATGTTGAGCATTTTTTCATGTGTCAGTTGGCTATCTAGATGTCTTCTTTGGAGAAGTGTCTATTCATGTCTTTTGCCCATTTCTTCACTGGATTATTTGTGTTTTGGGTGTTGAGTTTGATAAGTTCTTTATAGATTTTGGATACTAACACTTTATCTGATATGTCATTTGTAAATATCTTCTCCCATTCTGTTGGTTGCCTTTTAGTTTTGCTGATTGTTCCCTTTGCTGTGCAGAAGCTTTTTATGTTGATGAGGTCCCAGTAGTTAATTTTTGCTTTTGTTTCCCTTGCCTCCAGAGACATGTTGAGTAAGAAGTTGCTGCAGCCAAGATCAAAGAGGTTTTTGCCTGCTTTCTCCTCGGGGATTTTGATGGCTTCCTGTCTTACGTTTAGGTCTTTCATCCATTTTGAGTTGATTTTTGTGTATGGTGTAAGAAAGTGGTCCAGGTTCATTCTTCTGCATGTCGCTGTCCAGTTTTCCCAGCACCACTTGCTGGAGAGACTGTCTTTATTCCACTGAATATTCTTTCCTGCTTTGTCAAAGATTAGTTGGCCATGTTTTTGGGTCCGTTTCTGAGTTCCCTATTCTGTTCCATCGATCTGAGTGTCTGTTCTTGTGCCGGTACCATACTGTCTTGATGATTACAGCTTTGTAGTACAGCTTAAAGTCCGGGATTATGCTGCCTCCTGCTTTGGTTTTCTTTCTCAAGATTGCTTTGGCTATTCGGGGTCTTTTCTGCTTCCATACAAATTTTAGGATTGTTTATTTTAGCTCTGTGAAGAATGCCGGTGTTATTTTGATAGGGATTGCATTGCATATGTAGATTGCTTTGGGTAGTATTGACATTTTAACAATATTTGTTCTTCCTATCCAGGAGCATGGAATATTTTGCCATTTTTTTGTGTGTGTCTTCTTCAATTTCTTTCATAAGCTTTCTATATTTTCATTATATAGATTTTTCACCTCTTTGGTTAGATTTATTCCTAGGTATTTTATGGTTTTTGGTGCAGTTGTAAATAGGATCGATTCCTTGATTTCTCTTTCTGTTGTTTCATTGTTGGTATGTAGGAATGCAACCAATTTCTGTGCATTGATTTTATATCCTGCAACTTTGCTGAATTCATGAATCAGTTCTAGCAGTTTTTTGGTGGAAACTTTTGGGTTTTCCATGTAGAGTACCATGTCATCTGTGAAGAGTGAAAGTTTGACCACCTCCTGGCCGATTTGGATGCCTTTTATTTCTTTGTGTTGTCTGATTGCTGAGGCTAAGACTTCCAATACTGTGTTGAATAACAGTGGCCAGAGTAGACATCCCTGTCTTGTTCCTGACCTTAGGGGGAAAGCTCTCAGTGTTTCCCCATTGAATATCATATTAGTGTTGGGTCTTTCGTATATGGCTTTTATGATGTTTAAGTATGATCCTTCTATCCCTACTTTCTTGAGGGTTTTTATCAAGAAAGGATGTTGTATTTTGTCAGATGCTTTCTCTGCATCTGTTGAGAGGATCATATGGTTCTTGTCCTTTCTTTTATTGATGTGATGAATCACATTGATTGTTTTGTGGATATTGAACCAGCCCTGCATCCCAGGTATAAATCCCGCTTGGTCATGGTGAATAATTTTTTTAATGTATTGTTGGATCTGGTTGGCTAATATCTTGTTGAGGATTTTTGTAAAAAAATTTTTGAATGTTTATTTTTGAGAGAGAAAGAAGAGAGAGAGAGAAAGAGCCTGGAGCCTCTGAGCTGTCAACACAGAGCTCAACTCAGGGCTCGAACTCATGAACCGTGAGATCATGACCTGAGCTGAAGTTGGACACTTAACCGACTGAGCCACTTAGGCGCCCCAATAAGAAAATGTATTTAAAGTGCTAGCCTAGCATATTATACATGCAAGATTCATTTTAGTTCGTATTTTCCTCATATATATATGCTATATATAAATTAAAAGAGTTGCACTAAGTCAGCAGCTTCAAGATGGTGTTCCATGCAGCCTGCTGCAGAGTGAAAGGCAAAGGTGAAGTAGATATATCTCTGAGCCTCCAGACTCCATTTTAATCAAAGAAGTTTTTTTTTTTATCTTTATGGAGATATAATTGAGAAACAAAATCTAAAGATATTTAAAGTGTATATCATGGTGATTTGTTTTTTCATAGTGATTTGAGATATGTGCATGTGAAGGGATTATCACTAACTAGTTAATTGACAATTCCATCACCTCATATATTTATCTTTTTGGGGGAGCAGTGAGAACATTTAAGTTCTACTCTCTTAACAGATTTCAATTATATAATACAGTGTTATCAACTATGGGTACCATGTTTTACATTAGATCCTCAGACTGTATTCAGAAACTATCTACCCTTTTACCAACTTCTCCTTATTTCTCTCACCTCCTACTCCCTGGCAACTACTGATCAATTCTGTTCCTATGAGCTTTACTTTTTTTTAGATTCCACATATATGTGATACCATGCAGTATTTGTCTTTCTCTGTCTGGTTTATTCAATTAGCATAATACCCTCAAGGTCAATCCATTTCACAAATAATAGGATTTCCTTCTTTCTCATATATATTTCTCTGAATAATATTCCATTGCATTAATATAGCACATCTTCTTTATTCATCCATTGTTGGGACACTTAGGTTGTTTCTATATCTTAGCTATTGTGAGTAATACTGCAGTGAATATGGGAATACAGGTTTCTCTTCAATATTCTTTACATATATACCCAGAAGTAGAATTGTTGGATCATATGGTAGTTCTATTTTTAATTTTTTGAGGAGCCTCCATACTTTTTTCCATAGTGGTTACACCAATTTACATTCTCACCAACGGTGCACAAGGGTTCCCTTCTCTCCACATCCTTACCAATGCTTATTCTCTCTTGTCTTTTTGGTGGTAGCCATTCTGACTGGTGTGAAGTGATATCTCATTTTCATTTTGATTTGCATTTCCTGATGATTAGTGATGTTGAGTGCCTTTTCATATACCTGTTGGCCATTTGTACACCTTCTTTAGAAAAATGTTTATTCAGGTCCTCGGCCCATTTTTAAATCACATTTGTTTTTTCCTATCAAGTTGCATGAGTCCTTTATATATTTTGGATGTTAACCCTTTATCAGATATATGTTTTTGTAAATATTTTCTCCCATTCAGTAGGTTGCCTTTTCAGTTTGTAGATGGTTTCCTTTGCTGTACAAAGCATTTTTTCTTTGAGCTCTTTTATATTTTAGAGTTACTGGTAAGATTTTATTTGAGAAAAAGGGGTCTATAACTTAAAACAATTGCTTAAAAACAAATTAGACTAGATAATTGCCTCCAGCTTTAAAATATTTTTTTGTGATTATTATTCTGAGCTGTCTTATAAAAAAATCCCCATATCTTTTATTTTTTATAGCTCTCTTGCTCTGAGCCCAGGTGAAGAAATCTTAACCTTATTACAGACCACACCATTTGATATAGAAGAGCTTAAGAAGGAAGAAGCTAATCTTCCCCCAGAAGATGGTAAGTCATGGGCCAAGAGAGAGCAGAAGGGTGAGGAAAACTTAAAATATTCCGCTAGGTCTCATAGGGCCCTTCTCTGAGAGTACCTGCCATGTGAGTACAGTATGGCAGTATCATGTTTTCTTCTTTTTCAGATGACCAGTGGTTAGATCTCTCACCAGATCAGCTGGACCAGCTACTGCAGGAAGCTGCTGGCAAAAAAGAAGCAGAGCCCATTTCCAAGAAGGAGGAACAGAACTATGACTTGACTCAAGTCTCAGAGAGCATGAAAGCTTTCATATCTAAAGTCTCAACCCACAAAGGAGCAGAGCTGCCTCGGTAATTTGTGTTAAAGTCTAAATATCTAAGTAGTTAAAACCCAGATGTTAAAGTCATCTAGTCATTGCCATTTCCACTTTTTTTTTTTTTTTTTTGTACTGCTATGTTTCCCTCTTTTGGTGCCTAGTACCCTGATGACTTTTTTGGAGTCATATTTTTAATAGCCTGATCCTTTGCAATTCTTTTTTTTTTTTTAACTTGTTTTATTTATTTTTTTAAAATTTATATCCAAATTAGTTAGCATATAGTGCAACAATGATTATAGGAGTAGATTCCTTAGTTCCCCTTACCCATTTAGCCCAATCCCCCTCCCACAGCCCCTCCCATAACCCTCAGTTTGTTCTCCATATTTATGAGTCTCTTCTGTTTTGTCCCCCTCCCTGGTTTTATATGATTTTTGTTTCCCTTTCCTTATGTTCATCTGTTTTGTCTCTTAAAGTTCTCATATGAGTGAAGTCATATGATTTTTGTCTTTCTCTGATTGACTAATTTCACTTAGCATAATACCCTCCAGTTCCATCCACATAGTTGCAAATGGCAAGATTTCATTCTTTTTGATTGCTGAGTAATACTCCATTATATATATATACCACATCTTCTTTTTTTTTTTTTTTTTTTTTTAATTTTTTTTTTTTAAACGTTTATTTATTTTTGGGACAGAGAGAGACAGAGCATGAACGGGGGAGGGTCAGAGAGAGAGGGAGACACAGAATCAGAAACAGGCTCCAGGCTCTGAGCCATCAGCCCAGAGCCCGACGTGGGGCTCGAACTCACGGACCGCGAGATCGTGACCTGGCTGAAGTCGGACGCTTAACCGACTGTGCCACCCAGGCGCCCCTATACCACATCTTCTTTATCCATTCATCCATCGATGGACATTTGGACTCTTTCCATACTTCGGCTGTTGTTGATAGTTCTGCTGTAAACATGGGGGTGCATGTGTCCCTTCGAAACAGCACACCTGTATCCCTTGGATAAATACCTAGTAGTGCAATTGCTGGGTCGTAGGGTAGTTCTATTTTTAGTTTTTTTGAGGACCCCCATACTGTTTTCCAGAGTGGCTGCACCAGCTTGCTTTCCCAGCAATTCTTAAAGTAAGTCAGAGAGACTGCTCAACAGATCTAAAAGCTTCCATCCCAGAGCTGTGCAAGGAAACTGCATTTTACTCTTTAAACTTTTACTCAGAACCCTATGGACTCTTAACATCTAGCTCTCAGCAAACCCACACTTCAGATCTGCTGCCAACAAGCAGATTGTAAGCTTCACACTCAAAAGAGGGGAATAAAAGATTTCATCAGAGAAAGAAATAATAACAGGAGAAATGGGAAGTTACATTTGGCAAATAAATGTAAGAAAATAAGATAGATGGAATTGTTACTTGTATAGCAAATATATCTTTATTCATGTTGATGCTCTTAAGCCTCATAAGAAGATTAAAATTTATGTTCAGTATTCTCTAAGAAAGCAGAGATAAAGAAAGGTATATTCTTACTTTTAAAGGTTTAGTTCTTAAAGAAATAGACTTTATGTAAATTAACTCAGATAAGTGATTTCTTCTGCTAATGCTATATATATCTTGTGGGAGGTGGATGGTGGGTAGGTCCCTAAATTGGCATAAGTTTAATGTGCATAAACAAAGTGCAATTTTTACTTTTCTTACATCAGTCTTTCCCATTTCTTTTGCCCTCAAGACCATTTCAACTACAGTTTTTCTTGGTGTACCTCTTGAGATCCTATATCTGGTAGTGTTCCTAAGAATGGCACTGCTTTAAAAAAAGTTCCAAAGAGTTATGTTTAGGATAAATGGTCTTTTTCCTTTAACCTTGCAGAGAACCTTCTGAGGCTCCAATCACTTTTGATGCAGATTCTTTTCTTAATTATTTTGACAAGATTTTAGGTAAGTTACAGTACGATGTTTATTTTCATTTTGAAACTACAAGGCTGTGGCTAGAGCACTGGAGCATTGGAAGTCAAAGTATTTGCTTTTTCTTCATGATTTTAAGTTGCTTTCAACCATGAACTTCTGCCCAGTTGAATGATTTTGCAGAGAATGCTTAGCTCAGTGCCGGACATAGTTGCTGCTCGTTCATTATTTGAATGAGTGAATGCTATGTGGCCAGATATGGTTTCCATGTTCATACTGTTTATTCTCTTTTAGACTTACTGTACTTAACACTAATAATAAAAAGACAAATAGCCCAAATTTAAAAGTCAACAAAGGATTTAAATAGGCAGTGCCTTGAAGAAGAAATATAGACAAATATTTGAAAAGACTTAACTGTTTCTAGTAAGTGAATACACAATACAAAATAAGAACTTATTTTTTTGCCGATCATATTGGCAAAGATTTTAAAGATTGGCAATACCCAGTTTTCTCAAGAGCTGAAGAAATGGGCACTGTCAAACCGTGAGCGTGGAACTGTAAGTTGTCTTTCTCACGGTGGTTTGGTATCCTAGAAAATTTATAACCTTTGACTTAGTAATTTATTGCCAGGAATTTTCACTATGAAAAAGACATAATGTGCTAAGATGGTGATTGCAACATTGTTAATAGCAAAAAACTAGAATATCCCAAATGTCCATGGAGAAGGAAATGGTTAAAAAAATTGTAGTACGTTTGTGTTATGAGAAACATTGTGCATTTTTAAAAAAATTTTTTTTAACATTTATTTTTGAGACACAGAGAGACAGAGCATGAATGGGGGAGGGTCAGAGAGAGAGAGAGACACAGAACCCAAAACAGGCTCCAGGCTCTGAGCTGTCAGCACAGAGCCTGACGTGGGGCTTGAACCTACGAACCGCAAGATCACGACTGAGCCAGTCGGACGCTTAACCGACTGAGCCACCCAGGTGCCCCAAACACTATGCATTCTTAAGAAAGAATAAGGTCCATCTATGTTTTCACAAAGAAGGACTTCCAAGACATATAAATAAGTGGAAAAGCAAACCATAATTCAATATGTATGTATGTGAAAAAAAAAAGAACCTTATGTTTATATACATATGTGTAGGACTACATAAAGGCCTGGATGCCCACCAAACTGTTAAAAGATGTTTAACTCTGGGAAGAGAGGGAGCTGTGAGACAATAATAACTCTGTATGGCTTGAATATTTGTATCAAAATATATTCATGTAGTTTTTAAATTTTAAAAAAATTTTAGTAATTGAATTCTCATTTAAAAAAAAAATTTTTTTTTTCAGTTCAGCCTATGTACTTTTCTGAAAATATCTGCCAGCAGTACCATTTTCTGGAAGGGGTTTTTATGAAGTTAATTTGTGTATATTGGTCCTTTTATGAAGATAATATTTAACTCTTTGAAAGGTGTAACTACTCAAGAAGAAATTACCATGTGGCTCTTTCTGTGTTGGGGTCTGTGTAGGGCCAAGACCTCATGAATCAGATTCTGATGATCTGGATGAAGAAGACTTTGAATGTTTAGACAGTGATGATGACTTGGATCTTAAAACACAGGGGACTGGGGAAGAAGCATCTTTAAAAGGAACTCTTAATGATCTCAAGTCATACATGGCCCAGATGGACCAGGAATTGGCAAATACCAGCATTGGCAAAAGTTTCACCACCCAGAAGCAAATGGTACGTGTGTGTTTAACCTTTTCCCGTGTCTGAGTATCTTAATATTATGAAGGAAAGCTAAAACTATATTTTATCTTAGTTTCTCTTTTTCTTTCCTTTTTTTGATTTGTGATCATTTTTTGGTGATAAATTTGATTTTTTTATTTGAAATAAATAAGAATGTAAGATTGCTAATGTTTCCCTATTAGGATGAAAGATTATTAACTTTACTCTCCTAAATATAGTTTATTTTTTTATTTTTGATGTATTACATTTATTACTTATAAATGTATTATTAAAATTAATTTTTAATTTTTATTTAAAAATTTTTTTTCTTTAATGTTTATTTTTGAGAAAGAGAGAGACAGATAGCACGAGTGGGGGAGGAGCAGAGAGAGAGAGGGAGACACGGAATCCAAAACAGGCTCTAGGCTCTGAGCTATCAACACAGAACCCAATATGGGGCTCGAACTCACAAACTGTGAGATCATGACCTGAGCCGAAGCTGCTCAACCGACTGAGCCACCCAGGCGCCCCTTTATTTTTTAAGTTTTTAAAAAAAATTTTAATGTTGGGGCGCCTGGGTGGCTCAGTCGGTTAAGCAGCCGACTTCAGCTCAGGTCATGATCTCGCGGTCCGTGAGTTCGAGCCCCGTGTCAGGCTCTGTGCTGACAGCTCAGAGCTTGGAGCCTGTTTCAGATTCTGTGTCTCCCTCTCTCTGACCCTCCCCTGTTCATGCTCTGTCTCTGTCTCAAAAATAAATAAACGTTAAAAAAAAATAAAAAATTTTTAATGTTTATTTATTTTTGAGAGAGAGAGAGAGAGAGAGAGAGCGTGAACACAAGTTGGGGAGGGGCAAATAGAGGGGGACAGAGGAACCAAAGCGGGCTCCAGGCTGACAGCAGAGATCCTGATGGGGGGCTCAAACTCACAAACTGCGAGATCATGACCTGAGTCAAAGTTGGACGCTTAACCAACTGAGCCACTGAGATGCCCCTTAAGTTTAATTATATTAGTTCTTCTGTTATCAGTATTTAAAAAGTCATGCGATGTGGTCAGATTATGCAGTTGCATTCTACTACTCGCAGCTTACACTGACTTTAAAAAAAGAGAAAGGATCTTAAATATCTAAATAATTTTCAAGTCTTAATACTGTTTGTTTTTTTTTCTCTTTTAATTTTCAAGTCTTAATACTGTTTGTTTTTTTTTCTTTTTTAATTTAGAACCAAATTAAGACTTCATCTTACACTCTTTTTTATCCTAGTTTTTATACCATCAGTGTCTAACCTATACCTCAAAGACATTATGAAGGAGAGTGGAACTTCTGGATTAGGGTTTGAAATCCAGTTGAGCCACCCACTGTGAATATATATCCATTAACCAATAATACCTATGTTGTAGGATTAACATGAGAACCAAATGAGACAACAGTAAAACCCACAATAAGGCCCTTAATGAATGTTACTCACCTTGCTTTCATCATCTAAACTACATTTAAACTAGAATCATTTCCATTATTGCCCAGACCTCATAAAAACCAAGAAACCGTATTGTTAGATTTATCTAAAGTAGTGTATCTTAGATTTTTAATATGTATATGAACCATCTAAAGATCTAAGTAAAATAGAAGTAAAATATAGAAAATAAACAAAATTCTGGTTAAGTAAGGTCTGGGGTGAAGCCTGAGATTTTACATTTCTAACAAGCATCAAAGCAGTGCATGTGCTACTGACGCTTGAACTGCACTTTGAATAGCAAAGATAGTCTATAGATCACGCTACAGTCTTTCAAATCCTTTCCCCATCCTGTGAAACCAGAGGCTCAGGTAATAACTCAGAATCTTTGTGGTTGAATTCCGCAGAACTTCAGGTTTTTACTTGAAGTTTTTTCATTGAGGAAAAAAAAAAAAGAAATCTAGTTTCTTTCATTTAGAAAAAAAAATAGGTTCATTTTATTTCTTTTACAACTCTTAGGTAAGTTATAAATATGTCTCCTTAACCCTGGTTATCTCCCTTGGGCTATTTCAGAATGGGGAAGAAGTCCAATTTATAAAAACTTTTCCTAGAAAGAAGTGTGTTTTAATCTTTAGAACCACATTCTATTGTGTGTGTTAAATTGTAAGGTTTATTAGATTTCATTTTTACTTTGTCATTAAGGATAAGAAATTTCCTTTTTAATTTAGAATTCAATTTTACATTGTTTAGTTTTTATTGTAACTACCATCCAACCTAATGGCCTATTATGTCATGATTTTCTTTTCTATCAATAAGGAACCTCTCTCCCAGACTACCAGTAATAATTCAGATGAGGAAGATTCTGGTGCAGGAGGATCTGTTATGACACCAGTGGACATAGACCTGAACCTGGTTTCCAACATACTGGAATCCTATAGTTCCCAAGCTGGCCTGGCAGGACCTGCGTCCAACCTTTTACAAAGCATGGGAGTACAGCTGCCTGATAACACCGATCACAGACCCACAAGTAAGCCGATGCAAGATTAACCAGCACATCTCACCTCTTTTTTCTTCTTAAATAAATATTGAGTCTGATTGTGCTCATTTGTAGTGTGGATGACTATGAGGTAACATAAAAGGTTTTGAAGTCAGCAGGAGAGAGAATATCAAGTTCCTGGACAGCCCCTGATTTACACACTCCATGTTTAGAACATTAAGTTTATCTTTATTAAGGGTTAAAGGCAAAAATAAGGAATGAATGAGTTGCTTTTTTATTCCAATTACCAGGCTCACTCTGGTAATAGATACATTTGTTTTTATGTTTTATCTGTTTTTCCTATTCTGCTTCATGAACTGAGTGGGCTCTTTTTATTGTTAGCACCTTCACAGCTCATTGCCACATGAATATTGTCTATCCAGGTAGGCCCTGTACCAAAGTTCATTTTATTTATCTGCCATTTTTAGTTCCCGAACCCTGCCCTGTTTTGCCTCACTTTTCAGATATCCTTGGAGTTCTAAGAAGCAAAGCCCTCTCCCCACTCACTGCCAGGAAACAAAGTTCAACGTTGCAGCTCCTCTATTAGCCTCTCACATCTTTTCTTTTCTAAAACAACACATTAATCCAAAAGCAAACAGTTACTCCATGGTAAGTTTGAGAAACTCATAACCAGGAATCCTGCACACTCCCCTTTCTGTCAGTATTTTCAGATTGGGGGATGTGTACACATGTGCTCACAAACACACCCACATAGAGACCGAAAACATTGGGAGATGGTAATACACATGGACCCTGAACTGTTTTCTTCTAACTGCAAGATATGAAGAAATCTCAGGACCTCTCTTTCGAGAGTGCTTTTCCCTTCTACATGCTGGGTTCAGTTCAGGTCAGGGCAAGCTGCCAACCTAGCAGGACAATCAAGACCCGTCACATACTATCCCTCAACGTTTCCTGATGAAGGCACTTTGATTTCCCCAAAGCACTGATGATTTGCTGGCAATGGCGAAAGCAATGACCTTTTGGGATCAGAGGGAAATTCAGTGCTTCATCTTGTCTAATTCTAGAATCTCTTTTGCTTAGTTCTGTAGACTTTGATGTGTGAATAATGTTAGGGTCTCTGGCACTTGTGTCTTTTATCATAAATTAGTACCTAAAATCATCCCAAGATACAACTCTTTCCCGGCCATTCTTCTTTTCAAACAAACCTCTAACTGTATTTCTTCTGTGCATCGTTTCATTTCTTCCACATTTGGAACCTGGACTTGAATGTTTATCACACTAACAGATTGCTTTTCTCCCTCCCTATCCCCTGTCCCAAATTCTCACTTTCTATAATTTCCTCACTTCGTAAGACAGAAAAATGCATCTGAACAAAGGTGTGGAAATTTACTTTATTTCCTCCAGATAAATTCTTCTCTTCTATGATGAGGTGTAGAATGACACATGAATGATGAGAAATCCTACATTAGTTTATCTGATAAAGCTCAAGAACTGGTTCATCCTCACTAATCCCTTAAGTGAAGTTACAACAAATGGCAGTGACTGTTGTGCATTTAGGAAGTCAGACATGGCAAAGTGACCATCTTTTCCTTGGGTCACAAGTTGAGCAAGTTAACTGCAAAAGACTTAACTATCATAAACCCCACTGGGGTGCAGTTACCTCAGCAAAACATCACTGCATCTGATTTATTACAGAGTACCCTGAGGAAGACCTTGGCTCCCACTTTCCTCATCCCTTCAGATGACTTAAATATGACTTTTTTTTAAATCCCGGGTTGTGCTATTTTTCTTAATTCTGTGAGGATGAAAAGTCAGGAGTGGGTTGAAGTTTGCTGTATACTTTCAGTAGTAAGATAAAATTCTATCAGGCACATTTTGGCAGTTAGTATAAATCCAGCATTAACAAGATACCTGCTGAAGAGATGTTTGCTTCCAAGGCCTCAATGAAAATTGCTGAACAAAGGCCTATATCCAAACTAATGCTTCAACTTTCCCTCTGATTTTGACAATCGTCATCTTATCAGCTTGGCATTTTTGATTGCCTTTGAAGAAGAACTTCCTTAACACTGCTGTTAAAGGCTGCCCACTGTAGGATTACCTTCTACTCTGCCTTATTATGAAATTGTCCTGGAGATGGCCTTTTATCACCTCCCCTTTATCAACTGATCTCTCTTATGCCCCTCCAAGATACTGAGAAAGGATCTAGATGTCTCAACCTGAGTTAAGCAGGCAGGGTAGAACAGTTTGGCTTTTCTACCCACTCCTTAATCAGTTGGTGGGCAATGGCTAACTTGGGGGGCAACCAGAATGTCCCATTCTGTTGCTGAGTGTATGGATTATTTCTCCTCAGGGCTGTGGCCACCTCATCATGACTGAACCAGCCAGCTGCCTCTAGTTCTCTCAAGTTCACCTGGATCTAAAAGACATAAAGAAAAACAGGATGTAAGGTTAGGAGCTATGAAATTTAGAATACTCTAGCCAAACGTGAGAAGATGTTTCCGGAACTGAGCAATACCTGGGATCTATAGGCTGGGAGTTTTAGATATTGCACAGAAGCAAGAGAGGCATAATTAAAAGGTGAGAGTTAAATATATTTTTGTAAATAGTGAAAAAGAAAAAAGTTCATCTTAAAAATCCTGGAAGCACAAATACTGAAATACTGAAGAGTGGTTAACAGTGAGGTGTAGTATATAAATAATGTTTGTTTTTCTTTGTGCCCCTATTGATTATATAACTTTCTATTTAAAAACATAAAATTACTCTTCTTTAAAGGATAAGGGATAATTAGTGATAATCAAAAGCGTAGTATCTTCTTTGCAACGCAAATTCCCCCCACAGGAAGCTGAGACAGATGAGATATTACGAATTCTATGCAAACTGAAACACACAGGTAGGAACCTGTGCCCACAATGCCATCTGTCAAGGCATGCTACCGAAAAGCAAGATGAGGCCGGGTAAGGCAACATCTAAATCCCTTTCTACCAGAAGTTCCTAGGATTTTATATAATTAGTCCCCAACATCCTAACAGACTTGAACAGTAAGACCCATCCTGAAATCCATCATTCAATTCGATTGATATATTTATTGTGTGCCTTCTCTGTACAAGATGCTCTGTTAAGTCCTGATGATGAAAAGCAAACTGTCTCATGACGGAGATACAAATAAGGAAAAATGGTGATTGTGTTGGTGCTCTGAATTTTCATGGAGATTGTTTCCTTTATAAGATTGCAAATTCTTCAAGGGACCAAATCATATGTTACACATCCTTTGTATAATGCAGACAATGCTGGATAACACACATGCCTACTAACCAACTTGAGTGAAGCAAAGGAAATAAACAGCAGAAGGGAAGCATCAGAACTTACCTCTGTCTGCCCTGATTTCACAGTTGCATGACAAGCAATCATGAGTGAGCTATTAGGAAAGGGCCAGTGCTGGGATGCAGAGTACTGTAGTCTTTCCACCTCCAATCCCACCTCTTCTGCAACTTCTCTCCGGACAGCCTCTTCCAGGCTTTCACCTATAAGCACTCAGATTAATTCAGGACAGCCCTGCAGCGGGAAGGGTGATACAGATGCCCATTTGTGAAAGGAGCGGAAACTGGCTCCAAAGTTTCAATGAAGTATTCTTGGGAGAGCCCTAAATCCCCGAGTCTCTGTAACAGCGGGAATCAAGTCTGGGGCTGGAGGCTGAACTGCAATACTTACACTAGTCATTTGGTTAGTTGTAATGCAAAATAAGAGTAGCAGTGGGAGAAGCTACTGCTGACTTCAGCCTTAATAAAATTTTAATGCCACCTTTCACCATTTGCAAATTTTACCCCAACAGACTGAGAAAAAACAACCTGTAAATGCTGAATTCTAGTTAATACAATGCATGCTGAAATATTTAGGGAGAAGTGTACTAATGTCTGCAAACTATGCATCAAAGAATAAAGCGGATTGATGGATGGATAGAATAGATAGATATGTGATAAAGTAAATGAAGAAAAAAATTATGGGATTTAGGTGGTAAGTGTATGGATAAGTGTTAACTGTAGAATTCTTTCAGCTATGCTGTATGCTTGAAAATTTGCCTAATATTGAAAAATTATAATGCCAGAAGGCAGTTATTTTTTTTTTTTAATATTTGTTTATTTTTGAGACAGAGGAAGAGAGAGAGCATGAGAAGGGGAGACACAGAGAGAGAGGGAGAGAAATAATCCCAAGCAGGCTCTGCACTGTCAATCCAGAGCCCGACATGGAGCTCAGTCTCACAAACGGTGAAATTGTGACCTGAGCTGAAATTGAGAGTTAGACACTGAACTGACTGAGCACCCAGGCACTCCAGAGAGAAAGAATCTTAAGCAGGCTCCATGCTCAGCACAGAGACTGACATCTCATTGGCCTTAGGACCGTGACCTGAGCTGAAATCAAGAGTCAGATGCTCAGCCAACTGAACCACACAGGTGCCAAAGAAGGCAGTTTTCTTGACATCACAGGGAAGAGGGTGCTTAATACTCCAAGCACTGCGGCAACGAGGCAAAGAAATACCTACTGTTATTAAGCTTTTGTGGCCTCCAGTCATCTGTATATGCCCTAAACTCCTTACCTATATCACAAAAACCTGCCAAGGCAGAATACATTCCCTTGGGAAAGGAACTCTGGCGGGCAAGCAGGCATCGAGTCCCATCTGACACCAGAGTGATCACCACAGGAGCCATCTAGGAAAAGGGGATAGAAACTTCGACATTAGGGCTTTGGAGCCTATTAATGGGATGAAGGACTGGATAACTAAGGAGAGCCTTTGAATTGTACAGGCTTTTGTCCCCAGGACAGAGTAGTGCATAGCCTTCTTGGATTACTGTCCTTTTAAAGTAGTGCTTACCTGTGGATAATAGATAATCTTATTGGAAGGGCATACACGCTTGCTGCCAGCCATATTCTTCTTGGTGGGCTGCCCACTTCTGCTACAGAACTGATGACCGTCATGCCAACGGAGAAGAGCCTGAGCCTAGGAATACAAAGATGGGCTTGGTTTCATTTGGAGAGAATATGGAGCTCACCTATAATAGTCCTGGGCCTAGTATTTAGAGCAAGTCAAAGGGAAAAGCCAATCCCTTTCCAGCTCACCTACTTTATTATTTTTGTAATGTTTATTTATTTTGAGAGAGAGAGAGAGTACGAGCAGGGGAAGGGCAGAGAGGGAGAGAGAATCCCAAGCAGGCTCCACGCTGTCAGCACAGAGCCCCACTTGGGGCTCAGTCTTACGAATCGCAAATTGTGAGATCGTGACCTAAGCCAAAATCAGGAGTCAGACACTTAACTGACTGAGCCACCCAGGCACCTCCAGCTCACCTACTTTAAATGGTTATTAACTGTTTAAACTTACTTTTTTTGTTTGGTTTCTTTTTTTCTTTTCTTTTTTTTTTTTTTTTTTTTTTGAGAGAGAGAGAGAGAGGGTGTAAGCAAGCAAAGAACAAGAGAAAGAGAGGGAGAAAGAGAATCCCACAAGGGGCAGAGAGAGAGAGAGGGTGAGAGAAGCGGGGCTCACCCAATATGGGGCTTGAGCTCGCTGGAAGTGGGGCTCATGCTCACCTAAAGGCAGGACTTGAACTCACAAACCATGAGATCATGAACTGAGCTGAAGTCAGATGCTTAACTGTGCCACCCAGGCACCCAACCATTTAAACTTTAAAAACAAGGAAAACTGTCTGAACATATTCCTCTAGCATCTAATATGAATAAAAGAAAGTATATTTTAAATGTATTATGAATTATTTAAAGTACATATAATATATAAAGTATTGTAATGAATGTCCCATGCACTTATGACCCAACTTAAAATAAGACATTACCTCAACATGTACTCCTCCCAATAAAAGTGGAATTTGTTTGCAAATAAAAATGTTTAGAGGTGTCTTTTTAAATTAAATGAACAATTTCTTGCCCTTCTCTTCCTGTTCCAAAGGCAAGGCTTTAGGGAAGGGACTAGGAAGCCTTGGGGAAGAGTCTAAAGGGCTTGAGCATTTTTTTTTTTTAATTTTTTTTTTCAACGTTTATTTATTTTTGGAACAGAGAGAGACAGAGCATGAACGGGGGAGGGGCAGAGAGAGAGGGAGACACAGAATCGGAAACAGGCTCCAGGCTCCGAGCCATCCACCCAGAGCCTGACGCGGGGCTCGAACTCCCGGACCACGAGATCGTGACCTGGCTGAAGTCGGACGCTTAACCGACTGCGCCACCCAGGCGCCCCGAGCATTTTTAAAAGTAAACACAAGAGCCTTGGGACTGAGTTTTGAGATGGAGTTGAGAGCACAGAAAAAACCTGAAGGTTGGTACTCTATGGAGCAGACCAGTAGAGAACTCTCTTGACCGTATTTTTTTTTTTTTAATCCAGTTGTCTTTTCTTTCTGGCTTCTAGGTTCTCCATGCCAGGTGAGGTACCTGGGTTCCTGTTACAAGCCCTGTAGAGAGAGCCCTCCCTTTGTACAAGTACCTGAATGCTGCAATGAGCAGACTTCCGTAAAATTTTATATTAATTTCTAATGTCAATAGTGACTCGGTTCCTGGGGGCTGCAGCCAGCCCTGGGACATCTGTAAGAATTTTTGGGCGACTCACCTAGATGTTGTTTCTTTCTTGCTCCTCTTCCTCTGTGTAATCTAAGTGCATTAAACATATTTGCAGGGGTGTCTGGGTGGCTCAGTTGGTTGAAAGTTGGACTTTGGCTCAGGTCATGATCTTACAGTTCATGAGTTTAAGCCCCGCAACAGGCTTACTGCTGTCAGTGCAGGGCCCACTTTGGATCCTCTGTCCCCTTCTCTCTCTGTCCCTCCCCCTGCTCACTCTCTCTCTCAAAAAATAAACATTAAAAAATATATATTTGCAGAAAAAAAAATTAAATGAAAAACCAAAAGTATTTCAGCAAGTGAAATCCAAAGCTGTGAGGATGTCATTAAAGCAATACAAAGTAATTTCTCATAGGAGTAACATGATGATGTATATATTATGCTGTGGGTCATTAAAAATATCATGAGGCTGATAATCAGACTGCTATAGGAGAAAATGGTCCTGCCAAAAATAAGGACAAAAGGAAGAAGAATAAGCACTCTTCCTACAGCACATTGTCCTGCCAAGGTTTGTAGGAAGGACTATGATCTCTCTGCGCAGGAGGAAATCAAATGTCATTCTAGCCTTGCATATGCATGCATGTATTCACCCATCAACACTGCTTTACTAAATTTTCTACAGAACTGAGAAGTCAGAATCTACCGTGGACAGCAAGGAGGCATCCTTTGTATTCAGCTGAAAGAGAGCCTTCCTCAGCTCCATGAAAGACCCCTTGAGCTCTGTCTCCATTTCTGGTTTCTGTAAGGAAGCTAGAAAAGGAGAAATGAGAATGAAATGAAACAAATGCCAAACTTTGCCTTGGGGCCCCTCTCAAGGATACCTGTTAGAACAGTGTTTCCCAAACTCACCTAATAAGACTTAACTAGGGAAAATAAAAAATGTATAGGTTCTTAAGCCTCTACCTGGAGATTCTGAACAGCAAGGGAGTGAGGTCCAGAAATCTGTATTTTTTAATAAGCATTAGGTGATTCTTATGTTCATGCAAATTTGAGAAAAATTAGAGCATAGTATTTCTCAAGATCCTCTTCAGAGTAAAATACTTGCACTAGCCACATGCTATCCCTGAAAAAGAGGTAAAATGGAATGTCTAGGCTTCTATCTGCACCTCATTCCAGCATCATTACATTTACACCTAGACTCTGAAAGAGAGAAGGAAAGCCTAATAGGAGCCATGAACCTATACCAACCTGGTTCCCAAATGTAGGTCTGAAGACCCTGAGCTACTGCGTGGTAACATATTTCTTCCCACTTGAGATAAGAACAATGTCATTAATTTTAAAACATTGCTTATGAAATAGTTAAGAAATATAAAATGTATCAAGGTACTGAGAATAATACAATAAACATCGGTGTACCTACCACCTGAGAAGGTATTAAAATGTTCTTTACTTTCTTTAAATGATAATGATAGTAGATGGTAGGATTTTTTATATCCTAACTTAAAAAAAATACAAAGTTAATAACCTTTTGGTGTTCTCAAAATTTTCTTTGAAATTTTGCTATTATGTTGAAACCCCAAAGTCTGAGCACCACTGGGAAGTGCCCATTAGGAAGAATGTTCTATACCATTTATGGAAGAGGAGCTATTTAGACCTAGATCCAGAGCAAACCATGCTTCATGCTGTTCAGAGCATCCAATCAGCACAGAATCTTCTATTCTTTGTGTGTCCTGTCCAAACTTAGCTAGGAGCCTTTCCAACTCTAAGAAACAGAAAGGGAGAAGGGAGAAAAACAAAGGTTTTAATTAAATC